GCAACCTAAGCCAGACTTGTCACTTGGAAGGCCATCATGAAAGGACTGGCGGGGGGGTGCTGCAACAAAGAGCAAATAATAGATCCATGCCCTCTGGCTATATGACATAGCCCAAGTACCTACGTTCTCTGGGAAAATCACTTCCTGGCTCTAATCTCCTTAAGCCTGAATACCTGATGGGGAGGGGTGCAGCTCCTTGCCTTGCTAGAGCATGTCCCAAGGAAAAATCTGGCATCACAAAGAATTCCTGAAAAACCTGTAAAATCTGCTCTGCTAAGAGTGCTTTCATTCATATGATAAGGGTCCCAGCAGGAAATGATATGTCTACCAAAATTTCTGCAAAACTCCCTTCCTGACAGACACTGACTCAGACTAAGCCCTCAGATTTCTTTGTAATGTTATCTACTGTTTGATCCTTGCCACCCTGTATTCCTGTGTATTACAACCCAATAAAAGCCCCTGGAGGAGGGGGCTTGAGGCCTTTTCCCCCTGGGAAACTGGCCACTGCTCAACGCCTTTTTTCTTAAAGAAAATGGCCACTGCTCACGGCCCTTCCCTCTTGAGGGATCAGCCACCTCTTTTCCCCACACAGATCATGCCATGTTTTGTTTACTTTAATTTGTGGTGGACAGGGGGTGGGGACTTTCGAGAAAAGTAGCCCCTGCAGTCCAGTATTTTGTGTGTGTGTGTGGAGATTATAGTGTTTCCTATCAGGTTGCCCGTGAATAATGACAGTTTTACTTCCTCTTTTCTAATTCGGATGCATTTTATTTCTTTCTCTTGTCTGATCACTATGGCTAGAATTTCCAATACTATGTTGAATACAAGTGAAAGCAGATACCCTTTCTTGTTCCTGATCTTAAGGGGAAAACTTTTGCCTCCACATACTACACAAATCTTTTGTGTGTGTGTTTTAGTTGCATTTTTACTTTTCTTGAAATAATAAAGCATAATATGCCAAAATGTTGTACATTTTCTCCTATCCTCAACATTAAAATGGCTACACAAAAATTCACCAATTTTGTTTTTTTTTAAATGTATGCTGATATGACAGCTTTCACAATACAAGCTAACAAAATTGTTTTGAATGAAATTAAAGACAACTAGACACTTCTGGAGCCATGTTTTTGTCCAACCCAAGATAAACAGAATCTGACCACTTACCACTTCTATTGCTACAGCTTTGGTATTAGCAACCAGTTTTCCTTGCCTGGATAACTTCAACAGTCGAAATATTCCTGCCCTTGTCACACCCTCACTCCCACCCCCTATTTATAAAACACCCCCACTAAATGTCAAGTGCTTACAGTGGCTAGTAAGTTCCCATTGTCTTCCGATCCCATGTCTCCCTGTCATCCACCACACCAGCTTCCTTCCATTTTTTCTAAGCTCTTCCCTCTGGTTCTTCCTTCAGATATCCATGCCACTTACTTCCTCTCCTACTTTGGTTTTTTATTTCCTTAACATACCTTTATTTATCTTATCTTCCTACTAGAATGCTTCATGAAATCAGGGAGTTTTACCTTTTTCATTTATTTCCATATTCCAAGTTCCTGAATACTTAAGAGAATGGTGGGTAATACCAACATCAGGCAAATCACCAGCTCAAAACTTGAAGCTATACCTCCAAGGAGGGGTGGACAGCAGGGATGTGCAAACATATGAGTCTGTAGAGAAAATCTTTATTCAGGTGATTGGCTCCCTCCTCCCACTGCACTGTTTATTTGCCTCTGTTAACATTTTCTGAAATTAACTTTTTAAATGTCCATCTACACCATTAGGTGATAAGCTCCTCAAATATTAGAACCATGTTTTTTTCAGGGATGGGCACCAGCAACAAAACCTGTGTTTAGAATATTCATTGTTGACCGAGATGCTTAATATATACTCCAAGTGGGAAATGAAGAGAACCAGAACAAGGGCATAGTGAGGAGCTAATGACCACTTAGAAAAAAATTAAGAGGGAATTGTCTAGAGTAACTTACAGGGTTTGGGTTAGTAAACAGGAGTTTGAAATGTTTCCCTTGTGATTAGCTTGGAGGCTAGATAAAATCAATGAGGATGTTAGCTTGCAGTAAGCAGCTGGGGTGAGGGTTATTTTCCTATCCAGGATATTACTATTTTTGTTATATAGAAGCAAAGACAATAATTAGAATTCAAGTCGTGTTGGACTGATCAGCTTTATTCATTTAAAGAATGTTTTCATTAAGCTCCCCAGCAAGGTCAAGTAGTTGAACCTATTATGGCTAGATCTGGGTTCCTTGCTGTAGATGCTATGATGTAGGTTTGTTGGGCTTGGCCCCTCTTAAGGTTTAAAACTCAGGAAATATCTTCATTTGTATCTTTTTATACTGGTTATGTTCTCTGAATACAATGCCAGTAAGGTATGTTTTTCTTAGTCTTTATCTAACCTGTTGATGATGTAGCAAGATGGTATTGGAAGCTCCAAAGAAAATTTTACTTGACCCTGGCCAGAGTGGCTCAGTTTAGGGCATCATCCCACAACTGAAAGGCTCCAGGTTTGATTTCTGGTCCAGGCACACACCTACATTGCAGGTTCTATCCACAGTCCACGTGTGCGTGGAAAGAAACCAATTGATGCTTCTTTCTTGTATTGATGTTTCTCTCCCTCTCTCTATAAAAAATCAATGAAAACAAAGTCCTCTGGTGAGGATAATAAAAAGCCTAAGAAAATTTTGCCAGGAACCAGATAATATAGAACCAGATAATAGATCAACTGGTCCTTACTTGCTGAGTTTTTTCACGCACATTAAGTAATTCTTGCAGGCTGGTCATGATTTGGAATAAAGAAACTTAGCCCACAGCTGAGGCATCATGTGACCTTGTGTAGCTCATTCTGATCAGGCATAATACCATCCTCACTAACCACCTCAGCAAATACTGCTTAGTGACACAGGAAGGGCTATGCTCACTCAGCTTCCTTGGGCTTGAAGTGTAAAGGCAGGAATCATTGTTTGTTAAAAATATTTTTTTGAGCTTGTTGTAGTAAAATATAATTTCTATAGAGATTTATATAATAGTGCACATGTTCACAAAAAAATCAATCCCTGGCTATTAATTCACTTTGCTTGACAGGAAATAAATTAATGAGACAGACTCTTTATTCTGATGTAACTGACTTTACTAGGATGCATGGAAATGGAAAACAGAGGTAGAATATGCACATTTACAGATTTCAAGGGTGTATTTTGCACTCATCTTTTGGATCAACTTTAAGTAATTTTTCTCTTGTTTTTCCACTGCAGTACACAAAATCATTCTTAAAAATAAATTAGTGAATATGAGAATAAGAGGACTGATTTTGTTCTCAAATTCCAAGTTTCATCTAACATTTAGAGTTGAATGTGTACACACTTAAAAATAGATTTTGAGAGCAAAGAATTAAAAGTGTAAAAACAAAACCCTCTAAGGCAAATAAATAACTTAAATACATTTTAACTCAAAAACATATTATTTGGAAAATCGATAATTTAAAATTTTATACAGGATTCTACATGTTGTTAACATTTAAAGAGAATTTTATATATACTAATACAAGGCACTAGGTAAACAGATGAATTTGCCTTCTGGTTTGTTCAGCTGACTTGCTGACATTGCTGTTGAGGTAACTCCTGCCTGTGATGAAAGAAGATGCAAAAATTCCTTGCAGCTTTAAGATTTTTAGTTTGTTAACAGTATTTCGAGATAATTTTCTTATCTTACAAATGTCACTTTTACTTGCTAAGAGACATTATTCATGTACATATTTCTTATAATGCCAATCACACTGAAAAATAATTCAGGGCTAAGGCGTTTTTTTTTCCTATTTACATGCCTTTGGCATAATTCTAAATTGCAAAAATGTGATTTAAAAATAAAGTGTTATCTTTTTTAGTTTGAATAGTTAGGAACCTGAAAGTATACAGGTCAAGCTACATCAACCAGAATTTAGTTTTTCATGTTGATCAGATGGAAAAACTAATGTCTACATTTAAAACTGAGCTAATACTCTGTAATATATATTTATAACCAAAAGTTACATTCAGTTACTCACTTTTCTAAAAACATCTTTATTATTTTACATAATAAAGATTTATAAAGTGCTATGCAACATGCAAAAAGGAATATCCAAGCATGGCCTGTCCTACTAATTGGATGGGGTCTTCCCAATGAGTCTTTCAACTGGCTTTAGTCAATACATATTTTCATAACTTAAGTTCATGGTGAGCTAAATAGTTAATAAAAATGTCCAAAAACCATTAATTTTACATGTAATGTATTCATCTTCTAAAAATAAATAAACCAGAAATGGGAAACTTGATTTGACAATATTAATTATATATTAATGAAATAGTCTATTTATATTATTCATTATCAAGAGTTACTTAATGTTAAATACACCCTCTCAAACTCAGTTGATAAAAGCTGATAATAAATTGTGACATAGCCAACTAGTCTTCATGAAATATAATGAGTGTGAAGATGCATATTCATATTTATATTCAATCATATAAAAAGGGAATGATGCCAAAACTACCTCAATAATAATCATCTTTCCTTGGGTATCACTGTCATGTATCATCATTTTATGAAATAAACCTGTAGGAACAGAAGGCTCAGAAATAACATATGGAGAAATAAACGTTATTAACAAAGGAAACTAAAGCCTGCTTATTCCTTTTTTGTTAGGAACTACATGTAACCCTTGAATATTTGCACTGGTTTCCCTCAGGAAATCTACCACTCCATATAAGCGAGGATTCAGGAAGGCACGGTGCCTTATCCATGTGTTCAGTAAGTGACTTCTGATTGACAGTTTAGTGCAATGTCATCATCAGTACTAAAATATATCACTCAAAATATATTTCTTGTTGACCAATGTGTCAACAATACCATTACAAAAACAAAAAGTAGTCAATTATACTATTTTTAAGTTCTTGTCATTCAAAACAAAACTTCAATAGTGAATCAGATGTCATATTAGTGTATATTTCGAAAAAGACAAGAAAAGCATTAAATTGGTTATTTAGTAGAATACAGGCTTTTAAAAATCTCTTGATAGTATTAAGACAAGGGTAGACAAATTCATTTGAAGGCAATACTAGTGTCTTTTCTTTTTCTTACACTTTTGGAACTTTTGCCTATATTCGCCCCTATTGTTTTCTGTGCTACTATCACTATCACTTGTTTGTTTGTGCCGCTTTCGTTTATTCATCTGGTAGAGATCAGAGTCACGTGGTTGTTGGTGAGTCCATTCATACGAGCTCGGTCCAGCCTCTAGATTTGGAACGTGATTTAGTGAAGGCACAGATGTGCTATTAGGAAGTGGTGCTGTCATCTCACAGTAAGGAAGCTGCAGCGGTGGATTATATGCATGCCAGTGCTGTGAAAACAAAAACAAAAACATTCATCTGCCAAAGCAAGCCCAAAGGTACAAAAAAGTTTACAGTTTAAATGCATTATACAAATAACTACATGCAAACCAAGCCATGTATTGATAAAAGAAAGGCCATGCCTTGGCTTAGTAGGAATGTGGTAGTTTCCTTAAATGATTAACATAAAGATTCAAGGCAATGTATAGCTTACTACAATATAGCTTAGTGCTTTCCTATAGAAATAAAATGCTAGTCACATATGTAATTTTAAATCTTTGAGTAGGTACAATAAAAAATAAGAGGTGCAATCAAATAATGTACTTTATCTCAAAATATTTCAACATGAAACCAATATACAAATTACTATGACATATTTTACTTTCTTTTTTTATGCTAAGTCTTCAAATTCTGGGATACATTTTATACTTTACAGAATATATCAATTCTGATGGTAAATTTTCAAAGAAAATACTTGATCTAAATTTAGATTGTATAAAATTTACATGTGAAAAAGTAAATATACATATCCAAGTTCTTTTAAATATATGTAAAAGTTTTCCAATAACTGAATCATCTGTTTCAAATTTTAATTTAAGTTAATTAAAATTAACAACTCAGTTTTTTAGCTTCACATGTGTCTAATGGCCACCATATTGTATACAGTGATCCCTCACCTATTGTGGGAGTTACGTTCCAGAGACCCCCCTGATAGGTGAAAATCTGTAAAGTGGCAGCATTATGTTTATTTTATTACTTATATATATTATAAGGCTTTATAAACCCTTCCCACATTCCTATAAACCTTTCCCACTCTTATTAACCTTTCCCACACTCTTATAAACACTTCATATGCTCTTAAACACTTTCTACACTCTCAAACTTATGTAATTTTAAAAACATATAAAATTCTATATGGGTACTCACCAGTGAAGTGTACAGTTGCCCCTCACTATAGCACGGTTCACTTATCGCGGCTTCACTAACCCGTGATACAGTGAAGCCACAATAAATGTGATACAGCGAGGGACGACTGTAGCATGGTTAATCGTTATGAAACACAATTCTTTCTTTTTAAAGTAATTTTTAATTAAAATTTCTAACTATTCAAAGTACATTAAATATTAATAGAGATAACTTTAGAGTGAAGGAGTGTGTTTTTTCTCATATCTACCAAAATTTAAAAATGCTAGGAAGAAGATACTGACAGTTTTAGATGTGAACTGGTGGTTTACTCATATCTCAGTGTAACTAAGAAAAGTTTTATCCACAAGTTAAATGATCAAATTTCCTTATCTTTACCAAAAATAAAAAGGTTTTAAAGGCTTTTTCAAAAATCTGAAGCTCACATGGATGCTAGATGTTAGTAAAAAATCCCACCCTATGAATCAGATTACCCGTGTTACAGTCCCACATCTGTCACTAACAAGTACAATCAAGCTTGCTGATTAATATTATTGGACCTCAATTTTATTACGTATAAAATGAGTTGAGCTCTGGCTGGTGTGGCTCTGTTGGTTGGGGCATCATCCCATAAACTGAAGGGTCATGGGTTTGATTCCCTCTTAGGGCACATGCACAGGTTGAGGGTTCTATCCCAGGTCAGCGAGTGTAAGGGAGGCAACCAATCAATATTTCTCTCTCTCCCCCCACCTCTCTCCCTTCCTTTCCCCTTTCTAAAATCAATAAGCATGTCTTTGGGTGAGAATAAAAATAAATAAATAAATGAAAATAAAATAAGGAGCTAAAAAATAATTTCCTAAGTTCCTCTTTAATAATAAAGATTGTAATTATGATTTCTAGTCCAGAACCATATTTTTATGAGTCTTTGGAAATAATATAGTTTAATATATTGAAAATCTTTGCCTTCAGAAAAAAATTACTTAAAACAATCCATGTCCAAAAGTAATACATTTGTGATTAATGTTTGCATAACATAAAAATGATTCACTAAATAAAATTATTCAAATCTAAAAAACATCTTTTAAAATGGTCATTTAAATGACAACTGTGTATTCATATTTTACTTGGACCACGGTGCATCATCACTGCCACCTGCCCCTTTCTATAGAGGTGCTGGCTGTTTGCTGAGATACTGTGTGTTAGATTTAAGATGACCATGTTAGAGCTGACTGCCACTAGGGAAAGTGCTACGAGAAGCTTCTGCCTTTGTTCCAGGTTTAGATTTGAACACTGTAAGTTCCAAATAGTTTTCATATGCTTCACTATTTGCATCATACTACATATTGAACCAATGGCATATCAAACTTACCATCTTCGGAAAGTAAAAATATTCTTGAGGTAAAGCTGCATTAGTAGTTGGAAAAAACTGCATGGGAAAGGAAGATCTACCCATGACTTCTTCATTTCTTTGGAAAGGTAAAAGAAAATAATAAAAAGTTAAAATTCCTAACCTCAAATGTTCTTTTTTCTTTATGAAAAAAAGACAACTCTTTGTAATTAAAAAAAAGTTTCTGTAACACAGCTCAGTTAAGATTAGTTAACTTTAAACATTCATCCACAAATAGTCAGTTATTATACTGATAATGTACTGACATAGCAGTGCCTGAGGTCTTACTTATTACTATACCGAAATCTCAATTTCCAGTCATATTTGGTTTTTTGATAAGAAAATGTTAAGCAATGTTAATTTTATAAAGAACACTTAGATATTAACACAGCAGAGCAAGTCATTAATAATTACCAAAGGCATATTCAGTCTTTTATAGTTATTGAAAAGAGAAAGGTAGCATTTTTTTCCATTTATTTTTCAATATATATTCATTGTCTATGTGAATTGTTATTTTCTAAATGTACTGCTGATATTCACAAGAATATTTGCTGATTTCTTCTATACATTAAGATAATAAATATCACTAATTTAAAAACTGTGGTGTTCTAAAATTTCATTTAGAAGTGTGACACCTTGTATTTTCTTCTATGAAGATGATCAGTAAATTGCAAAGTTACAAATACTGGCTAGACCTATAGCTAGTCTTCATTACTCTACTTGCTCCATAGTATTCCAGTCTTAATGCTACTACTACTAACCCTTAGGACAGAAGGTGTACTGTGGGAAGAGCAAAATTAACATGGATGGGCAGAAGCAAAGATGAGGGCAGGAAAACAACAGGAAGCAGTCAGATGAATAGCTGGATATCCCATTAATAAGTGTTGAGAATAGTATCACAGGAGCCTAAATGATTCATCACAATGAGACCTTGGATGCTTAAATAATAGTTATGGAAAGAATACAATAAACTATAAATAATACGACAAATATTAAACCCATGTACTACTAAAGATAATATGCCTGAACTTAAATGAAAACATCTTCTGTCATTTTTAATGGTTTCAGAAAAAAATGAATTCCTTAATTTTATCATGCCTAAGGTTTACAATAATGCAGAATATATAAAAACTCTTCTTATACATGGTATAAGAACATGTTTATTCCCTCTGCCTTCATGAAAAATATTTTTATTACCTGTAGGTGTGTGAATTTATCTTAACACAGCTCTCAAAACTTTGGTTAGCTGGTTCAGAAGAGCGGGAACTCCCTTCAGAGTAAACAGAACAATGGATTACTTCATGGTACAATTTAAGTTCTAACATTAAACCATCAAAACCTCCAAATGCAAGAGGATATAGTATTAATTAAAATTCTATACTTATATAAGATATGAGTATGTCTCTGGTCTCCCAAGTAATTTACACATTGTTTGTATTATTATAAATGACTGACTTATAATCAAACTTTATTCAAAGCAATGGCTCTACAAAAGAATTACATTGACATGGGACCACATAAGATACATGCTCTTTTGTTCTACATACCTGTAAGCTAAAAATGGCAAAACAATCAGTGTTATTTACCTCCCGTGTATAAGGCATGAGTTCTTTAAACTGCACTGACAAAGCAACATTGCAGAGGACGCCAAGCAACTGACTAGGTAAGTGTCAGAACATAACTGGGCAGTATTTGAAAGCATCATGCAGCCAATTCTCTTTACAAAGACATTAAAAATATGCAATCAAAGAGAAGTACTTTTCCTCAGCAAGACATTGTTTTGTTATTATTATGTGCTTTTGTTTAGCAAGAAGAATAAAAAACAAACAAACAAGGGATATATCAATAAGCCTGACTCATTTGAGGGAGGGAAGCAACATAAGCATTCCAAGCACTGCAACATAAACATTTAGAGGGACTGCTTCTATCAGTCCTCTAAACATGAAAGGGCTAGAGTTTTAGTACAGTGTCCTCTGGATAGCTAATCAAAGGTGATTCGTTCTTAGCATGTGTGCAAGGAGAAGTTACTTGAGGCCATTTTTTTTCTGAAAGTATTCCTCTACCACTATGAAGTGTCACTAGGCAGCTGTCTTTGGTCAGCTGCTCTCATGGGGGTTTAAATCCAGGGATGGATATATATATATATATATACATCCTATATATATATATATTCCATGGTTCCCCTAGTAGGACTAAGTCACCCACCCTATCTTCCAAATAGTAGGTATTTGATACCATACATTAGCAATGACAAAAAGATTAGCATAGTCTTGCTATATAAAAGCTCTAGTTGTGTACTCCCAGTTCATTTAAATTTGCTTAACTTATAACAGAGCAACTATCATAGATACTTGCTGGCTGATACTAAAATAGAACATTAAAATTGTTAATACAAAACAGATGCAATAGGGTTGATAATGTAACCGGCGATACTAACTGCATACCATTACGGATTAGACATGTGTTCTGAGAAAACTAATAGAGGCTATGGGGGAACATTTTTGGTTTTATGCTATATAGAAAACAAAATATTTACACCTCTGAGAACATCACCACCAACAAAACTCACTTGGATAGACCTACCAAATCGATACTGCACATGAATTGGTCTTCCATATAAACGAATTCCATTCAGCAAAGCTATGGCATAAGACACTGATTCTGGGTGTTTAAAGCAGACAAATCCAAAAGACTTCGGTTTGCCTTCTCTGTCTTTGCATATAGTCACTTTGGTTAATGGCCCAGCCTATAAAAAACTTAAAAATTATTTTCTCATAAATCTAAAGATTTTTTACAGTTAGATAAATCAAGAATATTTAACTTTAGATTTTTAAAAATCTGTTACCAATAACAGCTTTATGTAGCTCTGTTAATACCATATTTTCCTAAAATACATATTACACTTCATACATTTTCTTGGTACTTTCTGGCTTATCAAGAAACATTCATGGTGTTAATAGGAAACTCTACATTACAGGCAATTCTATGCAGTAGGTCCAGATCTTGAAAGTTGTTACCCTTTGATTAGACTTAGCAAAACAAATTTAGCAACTTCTTTTTCATCTCATGACACATGTAAATTAATTACTAAAATACTGCAGGACACCCAAAATATATATTTTTGCCAATCTGACAAAAAATAGGTGTAATTTTGATTCATGTACATTGGACAGTTATTGTTGTGTTGACTGTTGTCAGTTTTTTATCTGACAATCTAAGGGAAAAGTGGTCAGTGACTCTAATAATCAGGTACTGCATGTTTTAAAAATTCTTGCAGCACACAGGTTAAAAATCACTGTTCTAGAATTAAGAAGGACCTAGGCAAAATAGAAACATATGCTTGGTTGCCTGATTATTAAGAAAGATGAACATTTTGTTTAGGTAGAAATAATAAAAAATGAGAATTTTTTATTCTCATTTTATTGTGTATATTATATAGTCTTTTATATAGGAAGACTTGGAAAGTTTCCAGACCGGCCACCTCCAGAATCTCGTCTCCTGGAAACATTCATCTATTGTACACACACAGCTTTATGTAGCTCTGTTAATACCATATTTTCCTAAAATACATATTACACTTCATACATTTTCTTGGTACTTTCTGGCTTATCAAGAAACATTCATGGTGTTAATAGGAAACTCTACATTACAGGCAATTTTATCCAGTCCCCACTGAATAAAAATAATGTATGTTCTCCTACCTTCCTTCATTTCTGGAGGTTCAACATAAAATAAATATTCTAGAGAAAAAGAACAATTTAAGTCCATCCCTTTTTCATTCCCTCTTTCCCTCCATCTCCCTTCTTTCTATTGCTTTTTTAGATAGAATGACAAGTTTTCAGTGACACGGGGTGGGGGGGAACAACTATAAGAAAATACAAGTATTAGAGCAGAGTTTTAAAAAGCAAGTTTAAAAAGATGGCGAGTCATCAGAGGAATAAGCATGAATGCCTTATACTTAAACACTATTTTTCAAATACTAAAAAGTTTTATGTAAAGACAGGAAATGTGTTCCTGGAAGGGACTGTTTCTATAAATTTGTGGGTACCTATAATTTACAGAAGAGGAGGGAGTGCTTTAGTCCAGAGACACAGGTAAGGCCTTTCAAAAACTAAATGAGTAGCCCATTTCACAGCTGGTACTCATACTTACTCCTGGAAATTTAGCTCTGCTATGTTCTCACTTGGAACTTGCTCTTATTCTGACTTGCCCCTGTCAGATTTCTCGATGTAACAGGAGCAGTACTACTGGTAGCAGTGGCAGCAGTATCAAACAGCAAGGAGCAGGCTCAATTCTGTTTTACCTGCATTAGCTTATTTACCTTCACTCATCATACTGTTGATACTACTATCCCCACGCAACATTTGAGGAAACTGTTGTACTTTTATTGTTACTCAGCCCAGGTCACTGCTGACATCTGAGCTGACTCTAAAAAAACTTTGCTATATTGTGCATCCCTCTATTTTGTAGATCATCCTAGGCCATGGTAATTAACTTTAAGTTTTTGCTTTTAGAAAGGCCAACATCTCTCTCTCTCAAATTTGTATGCCCAGTACCTTACTGTTTAAAACGGGGTTCTGGACCATTAACCGGTTAGATGAATGGCTGAATGAGGGTATCTCTTCAGCAAGTGAGACCTAGGTGTGTGTGTACAATAGATGAATGTTTCCAGGAGACGAGATTCTGGAGGTGGCCGGTCTGGAAACTTTCCAAGTCTTCCTGGTATGAAATAAAAGGGACTGGCCAGGTTATTAACTGGTCACAGTCATTTGCGGAACAAATCACTCAAATCTCTTTATCACACACCCGCCACATAAAAGGATTAGAGAAACAGTAACAGATAGGGGGACATTTAAAAACCTATACCCCTCATTTCGCGGGATGTAAGGCGTGAGGGTGCTTATTTTATCGCCCGAAGGAAGACAGTGACACGGCCGTTTTCTGTTTTTGCGGAGCACGTCCGCGGCCCAGGCTGCCTCCCCGAAGCCCTTTCTCAGGGCGGAGCCCAATCACTGCCCATTCCCAGGGCTCCTGCACTGAGGATGGGGCGAGGGCGAACACAGTCACCCCACCACCCAACCGCTCCCTTAGACACCCGAGCAAGGCAGGACCGAGTTAAAACTAGGGCCCAAGTTGGGGCCCGGAGGGGGCCGGGCTCCGAAAGGTACAGTGCGCCCCGCCCCTGAGGATGCGCCCTTGCCTCGAAGCGCCCCGGCCCCTAGGCCGCCCCTTCCCCACCGGCGGTACCTGAAGGAACAGTTCATAAAGGATCTCTTCCCGCACGCGGGCCTCTAAATTCCCCACAAACACAGTCCTCTCGGCCTCCTCCACTGCAGGGAACATCGCTCCGGTCGCGGCCGCGGATTGACGAGAAGATGGGGACTACCCACCCCTTTGGCCTCCGTACCCGCCTCCGGAGCGAGGGGGTGGGGCTGACAACCTGGGTACCGCGCGGAGGGCGGAGCGAGAGTACAGGCCACGCCCTCAGTGCCCTCAGACCACGCCCACCGCGCGGCCTGGAGATCCCACCCGACCATTGAGGAGTGAGTCAGAGTAAGGATCATCTGTGTAAAAGAGGCTTTGCCCTCGTGCTTGTGCAGTGCTTGCCATATTCCTGGGCTTGACATTGTTAATTGATTCTGGATTTATTCAACCAACATTTTAAATACATTGTCTACAGAGATTGAGTTGTCCTGATTGCACTACAGAAGTTCCCAGGCTAATCGGTTTGCAAAGATTGAATAAAATCATTAGAATTTTAAAATTATATTCTTTATAAAATTATTTTTTAAAAAAATGTATGCATGAATGTGGATACAAGACTGCTAAAGCTGAAGTTAATTCACCTAGGAAGGACTTCTTGAGAAGTCTGAAAATGGCTAAAGAGGTTTTAGGGGGACCCTAGAAGGCATTTGAACCTGAGGAAATAGCCTATACCAAGGAATATTGGAAAGAGCATATAGCAAGTTTTGTGACTGATACTAGAATTATTGAAGACAGCTCCTGGGCACTGTAGCGGGTTCCAGTATATGCACTTTCTATTAGGACTGTACTTTGTATACAGTGTACCAATGTGAAGGATTCTTACTTGAGGATTTTTAAAAATCTTAAAAACAATAAAGATAATTTAAAGAAAGAGGCAAGGAAACTTAGAATTTCAGCAGTCTGGAAAATCAACTGTCAACTTTTAACTTGGCTTCCTTTCTGAAGATAATGTATGTCTACATAGAAACTTGAAATCATTGTGTAACTATCATCCAAGTAATCAGGACACCATCTGATCTTTAGGTTGGCACCTGTGATAATTCATGTTGAATTCAGGCATGATTTTACTTAGTTGGTGAAAAAATAAAATCAACTACCTCTTGTAATGAAAAGGGACACATCTTTGGAACCCTGATTTCTAATTGAAATCTGACCTTACTTGGTGTTACGATTTTAGGTAAGTATAATAGGTAAGTAAATTTCATTTTTTCTAAGGATAAGATTATCCAGAATCTTATCCGGTAGATGAATCTTCAGATTTTATTATAAAGCATGTAGCATATATGTATATATGACCAAATTGCTAAAACCTTTATATTTATAAGTAATTATCATATTATCTTGCTCTAGTGAAATTTGCATTAATCTTTGTTTACAAATGTATATGATTTTGGAGTTCCTGTTACATACTTTTCTTCAGGTAGTACATAAGTTTATAGTGCTTATAATTCTAGGAATACTTAATGTTATAAGCTCTGAAAGTCATGCAGTTAGCTCTTTGTTCAAAAGTTGATATTGATATATCATTTTTCTATGTAAGCATACTGTATTTCTTAACTTATATTGAATGCATGCATAGTCACAAACATAGTAGAAGCCAAAAAATAATTCACTTTACTCTCAGCATTTGCAGGACCATTAGTCACAGATGAGGTTTATGGGTTAAGCGCATGGACACTCTACAAAGAATTAGCTTTTCTTCATTTATATCTGGATATTTTCAACCCCTAAATGTACAAACACATCAAAAATGAAAATGTTTACTCATATGTAATAATATCCTTTATAAAACTATAAAGTATGTTCCTATAAAGATATATTTGTGTAAGATAAATTTATGTACTTATATTTTATATAATGTATATATTTTTTATATTTTATATATCAATTAGAGCTCCTTTATCCCATTCTTTGTTCAGTTGACTCTTATTTTCTTTTGTAGTTCAGCACAGGTAGCACCTCCAACTAGGTTTCCCTGAAGTCTTCAGTCTGAATTAGCTGGCTGCCTCATCTGTGTGGTTCTGTAGTTTTTGTAGACATACATTTTCAAGTCCTTCTCACTGTTAAGCAGCATAGGCTAAGTATATTTTCATACCTAGCACAATCCCTGACATATCTGTGAATGTATTATAAATAGTGAAAATAACACAGTATGAAAAAGTTACACCTGGCTATCAGTTATCTGATATGTCAGAATATTAGTAGATGCTTACTAAAAGTTGTATAAATGTATGTACAAATGAATGAATGTATGAAGAAACTTGGTAAGTTAGTGTTAAGAGACTCTGGTGGGCCCTGGCTGGTGTGGCTCAGTGGATTGAGTGCAGGCTTTTGAACGAAAAGGTTGCCAGTTCAATTCTCAGTCAGGGCACATGCCTGGGTTGCAAGCTGGGTCCCCAGTAGGGGGCGCCATAGAGGAAACCACACATTGATGTTTCTCTTCCTCTCTTTCTCCCTCCCTTCCCCTCTTTAAAATAAATAAGTATGTTTTTTAAAAAGAGACTGTAGTGGATGAATTTTAAAAATTTACCTCACTTTCATTATTTTACTCATTTTGTTATTATTCTGATTTTTTCTAATCATATTTATCTTAAGTAAACATAATATTTTTGTTTTACTTGTATTAGATATTTATTTAAAAAATATTTTAATATTTAAAGAAATAAGAAAGTGAAAATCATTAAAGTCTATTTTACACAGGTAAACATTTTAAAGGAAAACCTTGCTAACTTTGGTCTGTGCATATACACATAAAACATATTTTAGGAAAATAAACTTTACTAAACATGTTGTCTTTTAGATTGTCTTTTCTCCTCTTAACCATATAATGGAGGCCTTCTTCACCAATAAATATTGATTTGCTTTATCTGCAACACCAATTTTAATCCATAGTATATGCATAATTAGATTAATCCCTCACTGTTAGACATTTACATTATTGCTATATTTTGTCTATTATAAAATTTGGAGATAAACATTTGTGTTTATATGTCTGTGCACATGTTTAAATATTTCTGTAGGAAAGAATCTTGGATGTTTAATTGCTGAATTAAAGAGTATGATCATTAAATATTTTGACACATAATGCCAAATTGTATAAAAGATCATGCCGAAATACATTCTGATAACTAATGACTCCCCCATTTCAATAAACAGTATTCAACTACCTATTATATTTACCTATAAAGTGCTTAAAAGTACGCTTTGCAGATAGGGTTCAATCAATTTTGCATCATCATCATCCTCATTATCACTTTTATAGTATTGTTTACATGGTATGCATGTCTATAAGCTTCTTAAAATCATTTTTAATCCAAAGAGAGATAAATAAGTACATAAATATTGTCTTCCTAAATTATAGGTATTTTATGTAATATTTCACCATTCCCGACTATTTTGCTATTTAATGCAATGGACATTAATAATCCCAACTTTCTCACTATTTACAGTAAATAAAAAATATGAAAAGGCAATTTTATATTTTGATCCCAGTTATTTGCTATGTATTATGCTGTCTTAAATGCCCAACTGATATTTTCAATGTGAGTTCTTTAGAATGGAAAAGATGAAAATAATGTATAAGATTCATATTACACTATCATATCAAAAGCACAAAGCAAAAGGAAAGTTTATATTAAAAAGGGAAGATTTAGTTTTTAATTTGAGTATAAAATGGTTAAGCAAAATCACTTTTAACAGAATGACAATTATACTTTCTTCCTAAATTTTGAAATGATGTTGTCTAGTTATATCTTTGTTAGAGAAGGGCAGTTATTATAGCTAAATAATGTGGAAGAACATAGGTTATTGGGTGGTCTTCAGTCTAATTTTTATGGTGGCACCCTTTTAAAAATGAAGTCTCGCATTAAATCTCCAGAGTCAAGAGTGAAAAAATAATGAGGAGGCTTCATCAGCAATTAAATTTTTCATGATTTTTAAAGGAATATTTTTTTGTGGATCTTTTGAAACACCTCCCCAGACCTAAGACTGGTTTTTGATAATCAATGATTTAAATTAAACATGTCTGCTCTTAAAGTATCTTTGGAAATATACAGACTTAAAATTCTGAAAAACAAATTTAGCTTTCAACTTATAAGTCATGTAATTTAGAACGGGTCTCTGTTTTCCTTGCCTACTAAAGTCCATTGCTGGAGGGAAAATAAGAGAAAGATTAAGTAAATGTGTAAAGAAAACCCGTAATATTTTTTTAAATGTTCATTATACTAAAAACAATTTTTTTATTTTAAAATTGTAGACTTCCAGAGAGAGGCTAGCATTTTGAATGTTAAAATAGCCACTGAGTTTGAGTTGCAAAATGTCACAAACATGAAAAAGCCATATTTTATACTTGACAGCTTGATGGATATGGATTTCATTATTGATTTTACGGTGTATAAAGGCAACTTAGTTTATAATCAAAATGAACGTAAACCACAACTTTTTCTGACTCTTTCCATTTCTAGCATCTGCTAACATCACATTTGCTCTAGGCTTTCAACAAATAGGTTCTTCCCAACCACTTCTGAAATCCTGAGGCTAAGAGGAATAAAAGAAGATATAATTAGCTTTTTCTTTCCCTTAAATTCAACTTGTGTAGTTGAATGTTTGTGACTTATTACAAAGTCTTTGACTTAAAAATCTGCCTCACAACCACAAGCTAATTGGGAGAAAACAAACTACCTCACCTTTTCAACAAATAGGGTGGAGCTAAAGTTCAAGGATCTTTTTCATTAAAACCTACCAGACTGTGACAATCCTACCAAAGAGAAACCTTGCTGAATTTTGGAATTTCTTTTTTTGGTGAATCTGAGTACTTTTTAAAAAAATTTCATCAGATTCCAAATGAGAGTTTATATATTTCTCTGTTTGATGTGCTGGGCAAGATCTGGTAAGAACTTGATAACTTGATTTATCTTTCAAAATTGTCTATAAAATAACCATTATGGTCCATATTGTGGGATAGAGAATGCTGACATGATATGAAAAAATATACTTATGGATACTAATGATATGAAACAGATTACTATGAATAAAGTATATATGTGTGTGTATATGTGTATATATATATAGCAACTTTTATATTCTGTATTTTCTTTCCAGATAATTTGTAACTAGAAGAAGATATAGAGAACAAATAGAAATATTCAAGAGAAATTAGAGTAATTCAGTAGTAAAGAAATTCAGTATTTGAAAATTATGACATAATAAACATCTTGTTTCAATTGCATTTATTCAAATAACCCTGCTTTTGAGGAAATTTTACATAAGTATATTATCAATTGTAAAGTGAACAAAGTAAACATATACTGCAAACTTTCAATTTTTCCTTTCTTCCTTTCTCCTATTATGCTAAAGCAAAATCAAAACCCAAACTGGTTTGTGGTAATAAAGTAGAACTTTCTTCTCTTGGTTTTCTAGTTTTTGATATTAAAGTTTACTAATTTTAATAATTTTATTGAATGTTGTTATTTATTACTTTGTGGCAATAAAGTAGAACTGTTCTACTTTATGATAATAAGAAAAGTAACATTTAAAATTCATGATGAATCATTTTTTGTAGGGGTGGTGCAAAAACATTTTTTTTTGCTTTGATTTATTTAAAATTCTTGATGGCATACTTGAATAACCTTAAAAATATAACCTGGAAATTCAAATTATTTTTTGCTTCTCTTCAACTAGATATTTGAGCAGATTATAAATTTTGGAAATATTTGAGCTTTATATTTTGTGGCGGAGGAAGAAATTTTCCTCTAACTTCAAGGTACTTTCAACTGGTCTAATCAAATCAGCATGAGACATATTAACAAGAGAAAATGACCAAATTTAATACATACGTATGCATGGGAACCCCACATACATGAGAGATTCAAAGATAGAAAGTGAAAATGGTATACATGAGAGTCTAAGCTAAGGGTGAGGTAAGATACCTGGGGCTTTAGTCGGGGTAAAGTCATTTCCAGGATGATAATAGCAGCTGTTTAGCAATTAGAAGTCTCCCAAGCCCTAGAAATAGGTCAAAAAATAGTATATTTAGGTAATCTCTAAATATAGGCAAGGCCCCTAATTCAACTTTGTCTATATAGTTAAGGAGAGGGGTTAGAAATTTCTCTTGAGCCTACAGGGCCTTGGTTGTGTTTAGTTCAAACAATCAGAAAAACACAGAGCAAGATTTTAGGGTGATTTGTTCTGAACCCTCACAATTCAAATATTGAATCTAAATGGTATTAATACATAGTTTATCATTTATTTCTTACTTATTTGGAAGTTTCTTTATAGGCATGTTATGTTTCTGTAGTGTATAATAATAATACCTTAACTTGAAAGAAAGAGGAATTTGAAGTCTAGGCTCCTAAGCTTCTCCTGAGAAAGTCAGCTCATGGTTTACATCTTTCTGACATCACGGTTTATCCTCCACATTTACAGAGCTGACTTTCTTAGATTATTTTTTTTGTTAATAGTTAGGCAGTTGCCTATATTCTTAATTGGGAAAACTCATATATGATTAGTAAGTATGTTTTGATCTCTGTTGACTAAAATACTAGACCTTTTACATATTAACAGTAAATAGGAAATAAAGAAATTAAAGGTCTCAGTGACTCTCAAAATTATTCTTACACTATGCAAACTCTTATGCTTGCTCAGATTTCCCCAAATTCTCACATGCCTAAGAAATTTTTTTTTGAATTTTGTTGAAATTTTTGTTGAATTGTACTAAGCTTATATAATTTACTTATATAAGAATGCTTTATTCAAATTACATATCCTCCTCCCTTCTCCACTAAAGATTCTGATATATACTTCTCAGAGGTCATGTATCAAACTCTTCAATATGAAAATAATTATGTGATCACATCTTCCTTCAATAAACAAAAAAATTTTTCTGAAAAACAGATTGGTCAAATTTTTTTTTAAGAATAGAATAAAATGGAAGTGGATAGCTGAACAAACTATATATGAATATATATGAATATATATTCAAATTATATGCATATGTATATATACTCAGTACAGTTTATGATTCATACAAACTGCTTAACTGGCAGTTGTGGTTGCTTTATTATTATTATTATTATTATTATTATTATTATTATTATTATTATAGCAAGGGTCAGCAAATATTTCTGTAAAGGGCTAGAGAGTAAATATTTTAGGCCTAGAGGGCTGTTCAGTCTCTTGCATCTGTTCAACTCTGCCATCATAGTATGAAAATACCCATAGACAACTTGTAAAGAAGTGACTGTGACTGTGTTCTAAAAATTTTTATTTAGACACTAAAATTTGATTTTTATAATTTTCACATGTTATAAAATATTATTTTAACTTTTCAGCCATTTGAAAGTGTAATAACCAGTCTTAGCTTGCTAGCCAGATTTGACCTACAGCCTGTAGTCAGTCAACTCTTGTTTTTCAGTAAGCTGGAAGAGATGTTAAAGAGATTATTTCATTCTCATTTCACTGTTGAAGAAAATGAAATTCAGAAAAGTTGATTCACTTTTCTAAGATGATAGATTTACAGTATATCATATAGGACAACTGAGAATCTTAAAATGGAGATGTTTATCCTTTGGGTGGAGGTGAAACCAAAGATTCTGCAATTCTAATAAACTCCCAGGTGATGCCCGTGGGTTTGTAAACTACACTTTGAGTACTAAGAGTATAGACATTTGTAGAACCTTAGTAGGCTGTTTGTAGGGCAATGATCTTTTCAAAACCCATGCTGTTTTAAGCCCATTACCTCAACAAATTCATCGTTATTTTTCTCTAAATTGTATAAAAATATTTCTTATATGACCAGTAACTTATTTTTATTGATTTAGTAAAATCAGATACCACAAGCAACTTTAATTTATTAAATTTATTGATTTATTTTATTATTTATTTAAAATTAGGAAAACCTGAAAGAACATGGGATTTATGATTAAAAGACCCAGATTCAGGTTCTAATGGCTTGTTATCCCAAGCTAAATCACTGAACCTCCCTGAACCTAATTTTAATTAATTAATTTGTTTATTTATTTATTTAAAATGTTTTTATTGTTTTTTCACTACCACTTAGTTCCCTTATTCTCCCCTCCCCCCCAGCAATCACCACAATCTTGTCCTTTTCCATGAATACTTTTGCTGCCTTGTGAATTTCCAAGGAAATGACGTGTGTGTGTGATTTGGTTAATTATAAAGCAGTATCAAGTAGGTTAAGATAAGTTACTGTGGGTTTTTTTTTAATGATTTTTCTTGCAGCCCAATTAAGGTATTATAGTTTCCTGCAATTACTTCTACATATGGTAATAGATAATAGAGAATATATCATAGATTTCTCTGTTAATTGTTTTGGGTGATTTATTTTATATTTTAACAGAGATCTTACTGGTTTATTCCTCATTACTCATTCTAAGGCCGAGTAAAACCTCACCTGGTTTGGAACAAACCAGGAGTTTGGATGCATCCATTGCATTTGGCCTTCTCACGGTTCAGGATGGTGGGAAAGTGGATGCATTCAATTTCTTACACAATTTGTACAGTGTAATAAGAACTGATACTGCACTATGGTTTATTCATTCCTTTTCTTAATTTTCTTATTCCCTAGTACTTAGAAAAAATAAAGAATCAAAGATTTTCACTTGACCAAGTATCTCTCCACTGTTAACTGGGGAATTAAATTCAGGTCTTGCTTCTCCTTCATTGCCTTCCTCTTATATCTTCTAAATAAGTATTATGTATAATATTTATAATATCACATACATGCTTCCCAAACTAGAATGATTTTATTAATAAACATTAACAGATACTATTATGGTTTATCAAATATGTATTATCTATTTATATAATAGTGTATATTTATATTTATCAAATATGTAACTTAGTTAAATTAATTTTCTGAGCATTTAAATCATTTTTATTTCTCTAGTAATGAAATAACTTATTTTAGTTCATTTTTAAATGTGTTCAGGGGTCATTTACTTGGGATAAACTATGCAAAGTGGAATTACTGGCATAGAGTATACTAACCCTTCTGTGAATTTTTAATATACTGAGAGATTGTTTTCTCAAATTTTTTTTCCAAGTTAAACTTTCAGAAGTAGCACAAGTATATACTCATTAAAAAAGTTGGTATTATATAATACACTTGTTTTGAAAAAAAGTACAATTTTGAAAAACTATGAAAAAGAAAATATCAAGCAGCCATTATATCAATGCCTAGCCATTAACTGCAAATGCCTAGCAATGCCTAGCAAATGACTATTGATTTGGCTTATTTATATTCTGCCCTATTTCCTTTTAAGATAGATGGATGAATGGATAGGTAGGTAGGAAGATACAGACAGATTCATAATGTGTAGATAGATACATAGATACATAGGTAAAATGCACACAGGGATGAGAAAACATAAGATGATATTTAAGATGTTTTAAATGTGTGTGATTATGCATAACCCTGTGATTAGTGTACTTACATTTAGTATAATTATTTATTTCATTAATATATATCCTAGAAAAAAATCAGGAAGAATAAATATTTTAAGATCATGTGTGTGTGATATACACACACATAAAATGTCAAAAGAATGTTGTATTAACTTATGTCTTAGCATCCATGTATAGGAATAGTTGTTCTACTACCGTCACAAATAGTGAGTATTAAAAGGATTCTTCTGTTGTTTAATTTGATAGGAAAAATGATACCAGTGTTTTGATTTGTATTTATTTGATCACTAGTCAGGTAAAATATATTTTCTAATGCTTATTACCTATATATAAGTATTTTCTGCAGACTTTCTGTTAAAGTTGATGATTTATCTGCTTTTATTGATACACATCATTCTTTATTAATAATATTAATGATTTGATCACATTGATGCTATTTTTCACGGATGAAGAATTTTTAACCACATTTACCTCTGCTTTTACTGTAAATCTTATATATTTTTTGTTCAAAAGTTCTTTTTAAATAATCAACAAATCAACATTGTAGTTACTTAGTAAATTATGTTGAAGTGCTAATGAAATTAAATTCCCTACCTTAGAGTTCAATTTTATTTTTTGCAAGAGCAGCAGGAATGGAATTGAGTACTAGCTCAGTACTGAGCTTAACTGATTTTTTTTATTTCAGAGAATAAAAAACCATGCCTTCAATTCTCTGACCTAAGTATAAAGGATTCCTTCAGAGATTTATTTAATCCCAAAATGCAGATGTTTCTGCTAATGTATACAAGGAACAACCTAAACTGTGCTGAGGCCCTGTTTGAGCAGGATGATTCACTTAACGTTAATTTCAACACAAGTAAGAAAACAATCTGGCTGATTCATGGATACAGACCAATGGGCTCCGTTCCATCCTGGCTTCAGAAACTTCTAAGGGTTTTGCTGAATCAAGACGATATGAACATAGTTGTAGTAGACTGGAACCGTGGTGCTACAACTTTTATTTACGATAGAGCAGTTAACAATGCCAGAAAAGTTGCTGTGAGTTTGAGCGAGTGCATTCAGAGGCTTTTGGTAAGTCTGGAATGTTATGTATTTTTATGTGTTATACAATCTACAGTGTGTTATGCAACACTACAAAGTATTAATAATTGTTTTAAATTTTTATTTGTTGAGCTGAGAGAGGGGGAGAGACAGAGAGAAACATTGATTTGTTGTTCAACTTATTTACGCATTCATTGGTTGCTTCTTGTATGTACCCTTATTGGGAATCAAGTTCTCCCACCTATGCTCTAATCAAAAGAGCTATATGGCCAAGGAAATAATGCTTTTTAATACTTTTAATGCTTAATGCTTTTTTCTCATAAACATGCAGATTTACTGCTTTGATGTGATAATGTGTTCAGCCAGCTTTTTAAAATTTGTGTAAATGGATAATTTTATGCCTAGACATAATCTAATTTAAAAAAAATTATCTTAAAGATTAAGTTACTATTTTATCTTATAATATTTTTAAGGTTTTAAGGGTTTTTTTTTTCCTATACAGATTTCAGGATAAAGTATTGTTTCTGTGTGGACATAGGAAATAAACTATATAATCATTAGCTACTTTAGATATTTTTTCTAAGTTATAGCTAATATGTTTATAGTCAATCAAGTGTGAATTGGTAAAAAACGAGGGAAAAACAACTTGCAAAGTAGCTTACTTCTGCCAACCTTGGAAGCAAGTTTGTTTCATTCATTTTTGTCCAGCATTTAGGTCCAAGGTTGGGACAAGTGAAATAAATTCAGGACAGTTTTAAGTAATCTGTTTATTAAATCAACCCAAATGGGAATCCTTGTCTTGTCTGGAGAGAAATGCTGTGATGGGCACTCAAGAGAAAAAGGGTGATATCTGATTTGGGGGGCAATCATGGGCTTGAAATCTGCCTTTGAGTTGTGTTGTGCTTATTTTCCAAGTCCCTGCTGAAATCGAGCAAGCAGAACACATCCAACAAGTAATTCCATGTAGTGGTTAGTGGTCAGATGGGCGCTTTTCAAAGACTAAATCCAGCTCATCGTCTGTGTAACTTTGAGTAATTGCTTAACCTCTCTGCCTCATTTCCTTAGCTATCCTTTTGGAATAACGAAACTTTTTAAGTGAAATTAACTCTTAACCAATGCCTTTCATATGAAAATATTATAATCATTGAATAAAATCAGCTATTATAATTATTTTTACATACTCAAATTTGGACGAAACCAAATCATCCTTTTAGAGAGACAGAGGTAAATGATGCAACTTTGCTCTTACTGAAAATCTCTACATTGCATACTTGATATTTTCTTATACCAGTGGTCTTTAACTAATTAACATTCACCTCAAAGTGTGGGAATTATGAGTGTTAAATAGAAAAAATTATGAAAATTTGTAGTGTTAGATAAACTTCTAAGAGTGGCTTTTTTTTTTGCAAAGGCTTCATTTTGAGAAGTTAAGAAAAGATCAGTAACACTAAACTTGAAAGTGATATTCCCTCGGGTTTCTGGGCACTGCTCTGAAAAAATTGAAGAAAATTACCACCCTGTGCTTGGGAAGCCTGTGTCCAGTTTCTCATTGAAAGTAAATGCTCCATGTCTTTTACAAGTCATCAGATGTGTTAGTGTGTCAACTGGACCATGACTTACTTGCTCCTTGAGAGCATGGGGGAAGGAATTTTCCCTCACTTAGGCTCTAACTTGTTCCCACCTCCACCCCTACTGGGGAGGAGTGTCTGGAACTCTGAGAGGTGTTTAAAACTAGGCTTGAAAGATCAGATTTCGTCACTCTCCAGATGGTGATTTGGGGAAAACATTTAACATCCATGAGTCTCATTTTATCATCTCTGAAGTGAGGATGATTATTCACACTTTTCAGTTTTCTAAGAATTCTTGACATAATCTGATTAGCATGTATTTTGGAGTTAAACAGACCTGGACTTGAAGTCTATCTTTTGCTCTTATAAGTACACACATATGTGGCTGTGGGCAACTCATTATCAAACCATATTTACTCAGCATTTTAAAAGTTCTGGGAACACCCCTGGATGGTGTGGCTCAGTGGATTGAGTGCCAGCCTGTGAACTAAAGGGTCTCTGGTTCGATTCCTAGTCAGGGCACATGCCTGGGTTGCAGGTGGGTCCCCAGTAGGGGGTGTGTGAGAGGCAATCACACATTGATGTTTCTCCTCCTCTCCTTATTCCTCCCTTCCCCTCTCTAAAAATAAATAAATAAAATCTTAAACAAAAAGTTCCAGGAATAGTTTTAGGCAATAGGGTAAAAATAAACAACTCAGTGCTATTGTGAATATTTAATATGAGATTTATAAGGCACTTGTTAAGGTAGCTAGTACAAAGTACCCAGTAATCTTTAATTATTATTGTTACAAAATACTTTGTTAACTAAATGTATTATTTTGCATATACTATTCTACATAATATATGAAAAAGGGTTTTACATTTTTTAGTACATTTTCAATGTAATTATTAAATATGTATAGAGAAGAATCAGGTATTTAATAGAAGAAGTTGAATAAAGGTGTAGTTGTTTTGAAATTACAAAACTTATTCCCTATCTCTCAGAAATGGGCTACACTGGAAAGAATAACAAATTTTAAAATATTGAGGCAAAGGGCATAATTTGTGATTTTCTGAATGAATATGGTAACACTATACTTTCAATTGCAGAAGCATGGAGCATCTCTTGATAATTTTCATTTCATAGGTATGAGCCTAGGGGCTCATATTAGTGGATATGTTGGAAAGCTATTTCGAGGTCAACTTGGAAGAATAACAGGTAAAATATTTTTGATAAAATCAATGTTTTAGCATAATTTTAAGCATGAGAAGCGTATTATACCTACATTTTAATAGGTATAATATTTAAGCAATAAAAATGATACACCATTATTTTTTGCATTATATTCAAATACTAGTCTTTGTTTTAGTTAGTCTTAACTGAGCTTAAGTTACCCTTATAGAATTGAAAATAATCACATTGAGAGTAACTCCCATGGCCCATGGGTTATTTTCAGTTCTATAAGGACACATTATTATGACAATCTAGAGAAAAATTTGGTCCATTTAATGTAAAACAATTTTCATGTATTAAATAAAAATATAAATAAGTATAGTATCTAATTTTTATAAACTTTGATTTATTTCAATTCTTTTAAACATTTTACTGAAATGACAGGAGAATCAAGAGTTGGTATTCAAGTGTAAGGGATTCTGGATCCCAGTGCCCCTCATGTTTCCTTCACAAAATTATCTCATCCTAAATTTGGTAGCCAAATAATGCTGATATGGATTTTCATGCTTCCCTTTAGAGTGCTGTTGTTTGTTTGTTTGTTACAGATTTGCTTTGTATGGAAACATTTCCATTTATGGTGGGGATGGATTGGCTCTAAGGCCGCAGAGCATGGCTGCCCGGGTTGAACAGTGTCCATCTCTAGGGACACGGTGGAAGTGGTGTCGCCCTGAGTTCTCCAGGCTACAACCACACAGCACAGCAGCCCATCCTGGGAAAATCATGGCCATCCGGTCTTCCTATGTCTGTGATGCAATCTAATTAGTGAGAGAGCCCAAATTGGAGCACAGGCCTTCTTTTTCTCTGCCCACTGTCTTCTTGGAGCATGTTTTAATTTTCTGGGGACAGAGGCAGAAGTGGCTTAGACAGACACAACAAGCATGCTTCCACTTCTTCAGTGTGGAGTTGTCACTAGATGGTCGTAGCCAGCTTCTCTCTCTGCCTGTGATGCCATCCAGCCAGTAAGGTTCTATTTCCCAGCAGCCAGTGGTCCCGGGCTCCAAAGGGTTTCCTGGACCTCATAGTTGGCCTAAGTGCCAATCAGTGACTATTTTGTTTTAATTTGTTATTACTGTTTTTAATTTTTATTTTTAAGTTACAGTTGACATTGCATATTATTTTATATTAGTTTCATGTATTCAGGATAGTGGTTAAACAACTACATAATTTACAAAGTAACTGTATTCGATCATTCTAGTGCCCACCTGGCCCTGGAAGGCTGGCAATTTTAGAACTAATAGGATAATATCCCTCCCCAACCAATTCAGCTTATAAAAAGCAATGGAGATCCATGCCCCTTGAAGATGCATAATAATTTTAAGTGTAAATAAAAGGTATTAGGATTTTTAACAAAGTTAAACAAAGGAGGAGGGGAGAGGTGGGTAAGGTTTACAGATTGTTAGGATGTTTACAAGCCTTTAGTATACTTTACTCTGATCAGTTTTAATATCATTCTCATTATACAGATGTGAAAACTGAGGTTAATCGGATGAATGCGAGAGGGTTAAAAAGTTAGCAACAGCTAAGCCAGGATTTACACCACAGTCTTTAGCACCCAAAGCCCATTTTCTTTCAATCACCATGCTAGCTCAGTTTAAACTGGTGGTAATCCTACTTTATTTTAAGGTGTGTTTATACACATATTAGACCAGTTTGAAAGGCTCCACATGCCAAGCAATTATGAAAGTTTACCAGGCCAGAAGATGTACTTCCACATTGGAATAATTCATAGGAAGAGAGAAATTTCTGTTTCATTCAGTAAGTGGGCTAAATAAACCAGGAATAGTAGAAGGACCTGAGATAAGCAACAGTATATTTTACTTTTTAAAATATCTTTTTAAGATGATTGTGTCTTCCATTGCATAGATCTTCTCAAGGCATTTTTTCTCTCTTTTTTATTGATTGCTATTCCAGGGCAGTTGCCTCCATTTCCCTCCCACCACCCCACCCCACCCCACCCCAGCCATCCCCACCTCCCATCCTAGGCATTGATTTTACCTTTTCCCTCCTTTTTTTGATACTCTTCAGTAGGTCATGAGCCTAGAATTTTTATTTAGAATTTCAAATATATCAGAAATATATTCATATTGCATGGAACTTTTAATACCATATTTTTAGGACTGTAAGACATATTGGACCATAAGACTCACCTAGGTTTTAGGGGAGGAAAATAGGGAAAAACTTTGAAGCAAAAAATGTGGTAAACTATTTAGTAATCTGTGATCCTGCTTCACGGCCTCCCCCCACAGCAAGCCAGGTGAGCTACATTCAGACTGTAAGATGCAATCCATTTTCCTCCCAAACCAGGGGGTGCATCTTATAGTCCAAAATATGCTATATTTTTTCCCTTGTGTTTGTGGCAAACTTTTGTGAGAAATGAATGCTAAACATGTTTATTTAAATATAAAACTAATAAATATGTTTTATCCCATAGCCCATATTGCTTCTGACACTTAAAAATCATTTTAGACCTATATATAGATAGACCCAGAATGAGCAATAAGACATAAGCTTCAAGCTAGGACCAGGATACGACTGATTTTTCCGCCTTAGGAGTTGGCATATTTATTTATTATTAAAGTTGTCCCATTCTTTTCTAATTACTCCTTAAATGAAACTGCGAAAGAAGCCTCTCCAAAGTTTTGTCAGGTGTCTCTAGTGTGGCTTAATACTATGTTGTTCGTAAACTTTGAAGATTGGTAAAAAAGTGCTTTTTTCAAATACTAAAGATAGTTGCTATTCACGCAATTTTATTTATCTTAAAATTTGTCTTTAGACAGGTTTAAGCTAAAACTGTGCAGGCTTATGTTTATAATGTAACAATAATGCAAACATATTATCTAACAAACAGTACAGTAGGACTTAATTACTAGATTGACAGTTTCTTTTTTTGAATTTCAGGTCTTGACCCTGCTGGGCCAAAATTCTGTGGAAAACCATCAAATGGCAGATTAGATTACACGGATGCAAAGTTTGTGGATGTCATCCACTCTGATACCGATGGTACCAAAGCAGGATTTACTGCCTAATTATTTGAAAATGAAAAAAGGAGATGTAGACTCTTGGAAAGGAGAACATAAGAGGAGTAAGAGTAGTAGAAGCATGATGATAAATCTGTACCTTTGTGGTGACTGTATTTCCCACGAGACTATTTTTTGGATTTAGTGAAATCATGTGGTATCAAGTGACACTCCGTCTTCAGCTTCCACCTTCAGATTTCAAGAAACATCATGTTATCAAAATATTGAAATTCGTAAAAACAATACTTTATCCTGTTCATTCTATGGACAGTTTTATTGATTTGCTCATAATGTCCCCCACGTTTAATGCATTTAGGTTACCATTCCCTCCACGCATTTTCTCACTGTGATGTGTGCCAGCTAGAACTGAGCGTAGCAATTTAGGCACAGATAGAGAATATTTTTCCCTACAGGTAGGGAAATATTTGCTCTGTCATTTTTAATTATCCTCATGAAAATGTCTAACAGACTATTGATAGTTTTGGCCAGAGTACATTGCAGACATTTTCAAATAATAATTTAGATGACCCTGATCCCCTTTGAAACTGATTATACTAATATTTATTGAGCACTTCATATACATCAGGCAATGTTTTAATTTCTTTATGTGAATTATGGAATTCTTCTAAGTTTCTATGAGATAAGTGAACATTATCATCCACCTTTTACCAACGGGGAAGCTAGGGTTAAGGTCAAAAGGCCAGTAAGTGACAGAGGCAGAATTTGAAATCACACCTTTGGATTACTGAGTCTACACCAGTATGTCAGTCTGATCAAGATGTGCTGTGGCTGTGGGCATGGGGAGGGTGTGGTGCTAAGACAGAGACAGGAGGAAGTGGCACTCAGACGACCCTGTTTCTGCCTCCTCGGGTTTCTTGTCTCTTTGGTCCAGGTCATTTATTTGCTCTCATATTCCTCTGAATTCACTTTATGGTGATCCCTACTGATGATTTTTTCAGGAGTATAAATGCCACAGGTGACAATTTCTCAACTTCTATGTCTATACGCCAATGGGCTGGGCCTATAATGGGAACAATTCTGCTCCATGTTTTAAATCTAAGTTAACCCGTGGTGCCCAGTTTCATATTCCTAGCATGATAGCCCCTACATCTCAAGTCTCTTTTATCTCCAGTTCTTTATACCATCTTAACATTACCACACACAGCACACCTGCTGCCCAGTTACTCTCAAGTTCTTTGTCTGAAATTTTCTTTCTGAAATTCCCATTTCTATTCTGCCTATGGCCTTTTGAATTAGGCCTTTATACCTTTTTCTTATTTTTGTTCACATTTTTCACTTTTCCTAGTAAACCCTTTTGGGTTGACTTGTATAGTCATCTCTCTGTATCTGTAGGGGATTTGTGCCAAGACCCCCACAGACACCCAAATCCACAGCTGCTCAAGTCCTTTATATAAAGTGGCATAGTGCATGCATGTGACCTATGCACATCCTCTCATTGACTTTAACTAATCTCTAAATTACTTATAATATCTAATAGAATGTAAATGCTGTGTAAGTACTTGTGACACTATATTGTTTAGGGACTAATGACAAAAACAAGTCTGCACATTTTCAGTATCGATGTAGCCATCACAGGCCTACCTACAAGGCCTGTCCACATCTTACATGTCAGCAACAACATAACAATTGTTTCTGAATATTTCTGACGTTCCGTTGGTTGATCTATGGATGCAGAATCCAAAGATATGGAGGACCAACTGTACTCTGACTGTCTTTTGATGACAGCCTGTCAGATCTAAGTGGCCACTAGGTGTCATAGAGACCAAGAGATCTCTTTGATATTTTTATGACAATTTATAGGTATTTTCAAAGTGATGAAATCTAAACTGTAATGATTTGGGAGATATGCTTAGAAAGTAAAAAAAAGTGATTTTATTAGGAGAAAAGATGTGTGTTTATCTTTAGTAAAAGAAAGAAACTGGTGATTGGATAAGGGCACATGAGGTGCTTCTAAGTTACTATTTCTTAACCTGGGTGTTGAGTGGCTAAGTGGCTACTGGCTATATAATGATCAGTAGCATCATGCTTTATGTTCTTTTCCACATCTATATGTCACATCTATAATAAAAAATAATTAAAAACCCATAGCTACTCTCTTTATCCTTCTTGAAACCAAGGAAATGAATGTCCTAAACAGACCAAGCTGCCCTGTCCCCTCCATCTGATAAAGGGAAAATAATGTGCATGAATTGACAGCTTGTAAGTTAATAATAAATATCTTTTGCTGCTTCATGATTCCTGAGAAGTCATCTTGGTTTGAATCTACTCCGGTGGCAGATTGGAGAAAATGATGACTCTAAACCTGTAACCCTTGGTCTTGAAATTTTGTGTTGAGTTCAGATGTGAGGAGATTTTAAAGATCTCAAAAATTATTGGTCTTTTTTTATCATTTTCAGAAGATTTGTTCATCCTTGCTTAAATTCAACAAACTAAGCAGATAAAGAGGGATTGGTTAGCATACACTTTGCACTGCCACAGTCAAACCACACATGCTTCTCTGAATTCTAGAGGGTTCTGATGAAGTAACCTAAAGTATGCTTTGTCTTTCCTTATGTGCCGAATCCACTCCCCTATAATGCCCATGTCCAGTTCTCATGCCCTGGGGACACCTCACTAGCTGTTTACTTGTTCTGTGACATGCTAGAATTAAATCAAGTTGTTGCATCTTAGTCCTTGCTGTTGATCTATTTATCTCTCTAAAAGTTCATTATGTTGTAGGTTAAATATGTCTTCTGCTTGAAGCCCAAGCATTGCAGTCTTACTTGGCAGCAAGATTTTTATCTAATCACAGTCCTGAATATTCTGAGCTTGCTACCCTCTTTCAGTTTTATGGATCCCCTGGGTTATAGACTCTATTTTGGTAACAGACACAGATTTTGCACTTTTCCCAGTACACTAAGGAACTACAAATGCAGAAAAACCCTTAAATTACAGCTACATATTTCATGTCACGCTGGCCCAACCTGTTCCAACGGAAACACATATGTAGATTTTTTCTATTTGTGAATCTAGCACCACGTCCTAGGCATTATTATCCAGAATGAGAACAAGTCATCATACTTGCTTAAAAAGTCCTATATGATTTGTCTTCATTTCTTCCAATGCTCCCTCTTACACATTTTACTCTAGCTGACCTGGTTTCTTTGAATACCCAGGCATGCTCACACAGTTATATGTAATACTTGGCTCACTGCCTCACTCACATCTTTCATGTCTTTGCTCAACTCTCACCACTTCAGTAGGAAATTCTCTAACTAAATTACTTAAAAGTGTGAACTGCCACCTTCATTAGTCTCTTACTGCTCTTATTTTATTCTTTTTCCATAGCACTTGTCTGAAATCCTGTTTTTACTTGTTTATTATGTCTTACTTCCACTGAATGCAATTTCCATGACAATACTTTTGCTCCATTTTTCTTTTTCACTTATATTCATAGCACAAAGGACTGTGATGGGCCCACAGTAAACTGGTGACTGGTAAATGTGTTAAATTAATGAGCCATATTTTTATGGCTCATTCCATAGATTGAGCCATAAAACTCTATGGAAAAGTCTCTTTCAATAGATTTTATAGGGCATTTCATTTTATACAAGTGTTGCTGATCTGATTGGATGTACTTTGTGATTCTTGGGTGCTCTTCTTCTCAGGTTTAGGCATTAAAGAACCCTTGGGACATATAGATTTTTATCCAAATGGAGGAAAAAAGCAGCCTGGCTGTCCTAAATCAATATTTTCAGGTATACTAATAGCATTTCCAAATGAAGTACACATGATTCAAAATGATGAAAGACAATCAATAGACTTTGTCCTCTCTTAATCTGCAGGCAAGATTTTGATCACCATTGCACATGAATCAGCAGTGATTGGTGGAAAGTGGTTTAGTTCTATCCTTCTCAGTTTGTAAAGGTTACCAGTTGACATCCCATATGGTCATGGATGAGACCTAGTACATTATAGTTTCAGCAGTTTTAGATCATAATTTTAACATTAGGAAAAGTTATGTCATTGAAGGAGCACATGTTGCCAACCAAGTTGCCATCATATAATAATGTAAATCTGCTCAGGATTTCATCTCTACCATCATCACAGTAGTGTCCAAACACGGATTTACAAACTATTGCACTTGGGTCTTCTCTACAGAAATGGCTGAGCAACGGCTCCAGGTATAGAATTTGGCTAACCTCAGAACCTTAGTGAGGCATGTTCTGAGTTCTACAATGGCAACTGGTCAAATAACACTCGGCCAAATGCCACTGCAGCTAGAGAAATCCGGTCAAAGGGATAAGCATGTGAGGCATTGGGAAAGGAAAGGGACCTGCTTTCGTAGTCATCTCTGACACTGAGTAAAATGTTAAGGATGTGGGTTTAGAAAAGATAGATATACTCACTAGTTATTAAATATGGTGAAACCCTGTCTGCAGAGTTTGTTAAATTATTGAAATTAAGCATTTATGCTGTGTTAATTATTACTTTAGAAAAATTTCTTACAAATATCAGGTAAAATACATACTAAATTTAAGTTTTTAATGGTACGATTTATTTAGTTGCTTAAGATAACACTGCATTACAGTCAACACTTTAATATTCATAAAACATGGTATTGAGTGGAACTTAATCGTTAATTTTTCTCTAATTTCCTTGAACATAGATTAATACACCTACAATTCTTTTGCTTGATTTTTAACACTTAAGGAATCAAATTTATTAAATGCGACCACCAGAGAGCAGTTCACTTGTTCTTGGCAGCTCTGGAGACAAACTGCAATTTTATTTCATTTCCTTGTCATTCATACAAAGATTACAAGACTGGTTCATGTGTGGATTGTGATGACTTTGAGAAAAAATCATGCCCTAGGCTAGGTAAGAGCTATTGTTGTAATTACTATCATTTTTGTGGGAAATGAATAATATAATTGTTAGTATTTTCTGCTTGAAGCTTTTATTATTTCTATGTCAACATTTTATGGACAAATTATTTTGGATAATTATAATTATTTATGGACAAACAACCAGAAAAAACAGTTTATTTCCTACTAAATATTTTTAGCATATTCAGTGAGGGGAGCTTGAGCAACTGCCTTTCTGTGGTATACGTAATGGACAGATTTGGTGGTTTCATGATGATCTTTGTTCTTTGTATCCAAAAGAATCTCATTATCTATTTGTAATCCTTCTCTAACCCCACTAAAGAAACAGACTTGTGCAATCTTACTGGCACAGATTTTTTTTAATGTGAAGTGTTAGGAGCAAGTGAAAAGGTATGAGGCATAATTAGCTTTTCATTTGCTATTAACAAGTAGACATGACTCATGCATGGTTCACACCTTCGAAATTGATAAAGCTTGGTAAGAGCAGTTAAGTATTGTCACTTCTGAAAACAGAAGCTTGAGAAATTTAGTGAAAAAAGATTCCACATAAAAATAAAATGTTAGAGCCGGGAAGAATCTTAAGGCTGTTTGTTCAGCGTTTTTTAAAGAGAATAGTAGACCCCGTGCATGTCACGAGCATGTAAATATCCAATCAGTATCATGACAAGATCTTCCAGAAATGTTTCCAAAGGCCCAAAGGCTCAATGAAATCCATAGCAATTACAAAGGCTGAATTAAACAGCCTCCCACAGTTTTCTTCAGCAGGAGGTTTATACTAAAGGACAGAATTGCTAAGGAGAAACAGGAAATAAGCAAGCTTTGCCAGGCTTATTTCCTTGCAGACCTGTCAGTTCACAAGGCATTATGTAGAATTGGTTTTCTTCAGAGCTCACGCTGGGGATTGTTTTTCTGCTCCCATTGCTTTTCCATATACATAGGAAAACTGTGACTTCATATGAACATATGGACTGTTTAAGGGCACAAGTGAGAACTTATGTTAGACCTCTGAATTCCCAGTTAACTGTCTTTTCTACTATATTCAGATCTCAAGTTTTGAGGCAGCAATGTGGAAAAAGACAAATACATGAATTGAAAGCATCTTAAATATATATGTATATATAATACAGATTTCTTAAGTACATATAACTTACATATCTAATATATATTATATATAACAATACATAGTATATGCAGATGCTATCTATATAATGTATATTGTATATAATGTATACCTATGCATACCATATTTATATCCATGTATGTATAGAAGCATTGGGGTTGTACTCACCAAGCTAAATTTAGTGTTCGAGTTTTATCTAATAAATTTATTCCACTGAATCTACTAAAAAGAGTTACAAGTAAAATTCTGAACATATAATACAATTGTAAAAATGCCTACAAATGGACTGTAGCAATTTGGAGTACACTAAACTCTGATAAAATTTCCAGAGATTGTATTATCATCGTAACTAAATAAAATTTAAAATTCTTTGAAAATCGTAACATTATAAAATATATGAATATTATTATTATTATACTCATTATTGTGCTTTAGTTTCTTTAATAATTTGAAGTTTTTGCATGCTATTTGATGGAAGTCTGACTTCTAATGTTTTGTTTCTCAAATCTCAGGTTATCAAGCTGAGCTATGGAAAGATATTTTAAAAGAAAGAAGAAAAAGATCTCTTAGGACCACTGTGTTTTTGGATACTACTGGCACAAATCCATTCTGTAGTAAGTTAACATTTTTAGCAAATAAATAAATGATTGCTTTTATGGGCTAATTTATATTTTATCCAAAATGTTCTTTCTGCCCACTCAAATTCATCATGTACTTTCAAGAAAGTTAAAAACTTGTTAGAGCCAGTTGTAAGTTTTTAAATAAGGACTTGATATTTAGATAAAATGAACATATGCTTTGGGTAACATTTTCCCAAGGAAACAAGGAAGTCCTTGTCCTTTCCCCCACATTTACATGATTATCCTTCCCACCCTTACAGTTGTGTCAGCATAAACCAGACAGAGCTTGACACCTATCAACATTATTACCACATTTGGGGAACTAAAACTAAACTATATAAATGCAAAAATGCAAATAATAACTTTTCTAACATGTTTAGAGTTAGATAAGAGGAAAGTAATTGAAGAACAAGAGTCTTTTAGAAATATATTAAATAATTATATTTATGAAGGGCTAGTTAAGGATGCAAAGTTATTCTGTTTAGAGATGAAAAGCTCGAAGTAGTTTATGAATGAAAGTAGATCCTATTATATCATATGAAGAATATTGTAAGAAAAGTTTCCAGTCACTGTCATTAACTTTGGTTACTGAGAGATAAATATTTAAAAGAGATGATCATATTTTTAAAATATTTAGATTAGTCATTGTCAATGTTTTATAGTCACAATTTCTATCAATTATAAGATAGTATAATTCTTTAAAGTTTAGTGGTTTTCGTTAATCCATAATTGAGCCTGTCCATTTTCTAAATTCATTTTTTATTGAATTAAATTTAAATTTACACACAGATATAAGAAATAATACAGAGAGACCTTGTGTATACTTTATTCAGTTTTTCTAAATAATAAAATTTTGTAATACTATAAAATATAGTATCACTACTAAGATACTAACTTTGTTTTTCTTTAAGATTTTATTTATTTATTTTTTAGGGAGAGGGAAAGGGAAGGAGAAAGAGAGAAACATCAATGTGTGGTTGCCTCTCATGTGCCCCCAACTAGGGACCTGGCCCACAACACAGGCATGTGCCCTGACTGGGTAGGAATTGAACCAGCAACCCTTTGGTTCACAAGCACACTCTCAATCCATTGAGCTACACCAGCCAGAGCAAGACATTGATACAATCCATACATCTTATTCCTATTTCCTCACAGACTTGTGCTTTTATGTGTGTTTGGCTCTGCACAATTTAATCACTCTCATAGGGCTTATGTATCTATCACTGCAGTCAAGATATTAATAGTTTTATTACCACAAGTATCCTCTGGGTGGCACTGCTGTTTCTAATCCTTGTACTCCATTAACACAGTTCTAAAATTTTATTTCGAAAATATGAAGGCAGTAATTCAGAATGTGGCTTTTTCCTTTACTCAGCATAATTCTCTGGATCTTTATCCATGTTGCAGCATGTATCAATAATTCATCCCTTTTTACAGCTGAGTAGTATTCCATGGTGTGTGTGTACTACAGTTTGTTTCATCGTTCATCTGTGGAAGGACATTAGAATGTTTTTTGTTATTGGCCCTTATCAATAGAGCTGCTGTGAATATTCATGTACAAGTTTTTGTGTGAATGTAAGTTTTCGTTCATCTATCATAAAGGCCTAGGAATGCAATTGCTGGGTCCAAACCATTTGCAGATTTAGCCTGATAAGAAATTTATAAGGTGATTTTAGAGTAATGGTACCACTTCGCATTCCTCTCAGCAAAGTATGAGTGATCCAGTTCCTCAGATTTCTTATTAGCATTTGGTGTTATCATTGTTTTTAAAAAATTATTCATTGTGATAAACAAATGGTAATAACTGTGTTGCAGTTTTTTATTTTTTGCCCTGAATACTTATGATGTTGAATATCATTTCAATACATTCTCTTTAGTGTAATGTGCATTTATGTCTTTTGCTCCTTTTCCAATTGGGTTTTTTAAACTGCTGAGTTTTGAGAGTTCATTTTAGTTGTACATTTTTAATCTTCACCCAAGGACATGTTTCTTTACTTGAGAGAGAGAGAGAAACATTGAGGGGAGAGAGACGCATCAACCAGTTGCCTCCTGTAGGAGCCCTGACCAGGGATCAAACCGGAAACTTTTCAGTGTGTGGGACCACGCTCCAACCAACCGGGCCACTTGGCCAAGCCTCTTAACTGTTTTTGATAGTAGCCTTTGTTGTATACTTCATGTGCAAAGTATTTTCTCCCTGTCTATAACTTGACTGTCTTTTTATCTCTTCACAAGGGCTTTTTGCAAGGTCAAAAGTATTTACTTTTCATAAAGTCCAATTTTTAATCTTTTTTTTTTCCTTTAATGGACCATGCTTTTGGTGTCTAAGAACTCTTTGCTGAGCTCTAGGTTTTGGAGATTTTCTTCTACAATTTTTTTCTAAAAGTTTTATAGTTTTATGTGTTACATTTAAGTCTGTATTCCATTTTAGTTTAGTCTTTCTATCATATGTGAGGTTGAAGTTCATTTTCCCCCCATGGATGCTCATTTTTTTCTAGCACCATTTGTTGAAAAGGCTGTTCTTACATCATTGAAATGCTTTTGTACCTTTATCAAAAGCAAGTTAAGCATAGTTGTTTAGATCTGTTTCTATTGGGTCTACACCATGTTCTCTATTCTGTTTCATTGATTTCTGTGTTTACCCTTTTTCCAAGGCCACGCAGTGTTAATTACTAGGGTGTAGTATAGTAAGCCTTATTATTGGGTAGAATGATTATTTTTTTTATTTGCCTTCATCATGATTATTTTAGATATTCCAAGGTCTGTGCATCTTAATATACTTTTAAAATAAGATTGTACATGTCTGCAGAAACTTAACCAGGACTTTGGTAGGAATAACATTAAACCTATAGGTCAGTTTGAAGAAAGCTGACATCTTTACGATGTAGAATCTTCTGAGTCACGAACATATTATGTCCCCTCTCCATTTGTTTCCAATCTTTGATTTCTTTCATTAACACTTCATGAATTTTAGCATACAGATCTCCTACCCCTTTTGTTACATCCATACCTAAATATTTTATTTTTGAGTGATAGTAAATGATATTTAAAGTTTTTGTGATTTTCATCTGCACTGTTAGTGTAAAAAAATGTAACTGAATCTTTTGTTTTGAACTCGTTTTCTGGGATCTTTCAGAATTTGCTCATTATGTCTTGGATTTTAAAAATAGATTTCTTGGAATTTTTTATGTGACAATCATGTCACCTACAAATTGAGGAACTTTTATTTTCTTCCTTTCTAATCTGTAAGTCTTTTGCTTATTTACTTTTCTTTACTTACTTCAGTGGCTCAAACTCCCAATTCTGTGTTGAATAAGAGTGGTAAGAGCAGACATCTTGCCTTCTTCCCAATCTTAGAGAAAAAGCATTCAGTATTTCACCATGAAGTATACGCTTACCTGTAAGATTTATGTGTCTGATCTTTATAAAGTTGAAGTGATTCCTTTGTGTACCTAACTTGTGAAGACTTTTTTCTTATAAATATGTTTTGGATTTTGCCAAGTGCTTTTCTAGATTACTAATGTAAGCATACATTTTCCCCTTTCCTTTGTCGAAATATTGTATTATGTTAATGTTTCTGGAATGTGAACCAGTCTTGTGTTCCTGTCATAAATCCAATTTGGCCATAGTGAGTATTTTCATGCATTGTTGGATTTCATTTGTTAATATTTTGCTGAGGACTTTGAGTCTAAGTTCATGAATATAATACTGTCTTCATATCAGAGTAATGCAACCTCATAAAATGAGTAGGTAAGTTTTCTCTCTTCTATTATTTTCTGGAATATATTGTGAAAAATTTTGCTAATTCTTTTTAAGGTGCTTGGTAGAATTTTTGAGGACAGCCACTTGGACCTCAAGATTTTTTTTGAAAGCTTTTTAATTACAAATTCAATTTCTTTCATGGACATGGGGCTACTCAGATTATCAATTACACCTTGGTTGAATTTTTATAGTTTGTAATTTTCAGACAGTATTATTTTAAGGTGGCAAATTTATGATACTAAAGTTGTTTTTACTACTTCTTCATTATTTTTTAAATGACTACAGGGTCTGTGGCAATACCTTCTATTCCACTGGTTATAGTGGTGACTTTTGTCTTTTCTTTATTTCTATTTTTGTCTATGTTGAGAAGTTTATTGATTCTATTACTCTTTCTCCCCCAAGAATCAACTTTCTATTTCATTGACTTTCTATTGTTTTCCATAATTAAATTTCATTGATTTATGTTCTGCTCTTTATTACATCTTTCTTCCTACCTTTTTGGTATTTATTTATTTTTTTCTCTAAAAGGCAAGATATTAGATGGTTGGTTTGAGGTATTTCTTCATTTCTAATCCTATGAACCTCTGTGTTAGTGCTGCTGGAGCTGTGTCCCACATGCTATGATACATTGTATTTTCATTTTTAATTAGTTTCATATATTTCTTTTTGACACTTTTGGTCATTTTTATAAGCATGCTACTTAATTTCACAGTTTATAGATTTTCCTATCTTTCCATTATTAATTTCTCATTTGGTGTCATGGTTAGATAATGGACTGTATAATTTTATTTTTTTTAATCATGGAGGTATTTTTTATAATCTAAGATATGCTCTACTTGAGTGACTGCTTCATAAGTACCTAAAATAAATGTGTATTCTGTGTTTGTTGGGTGGAGTGTTCTATATATGTCAGTAAGATTTTGTTGGTTGGTCCCCAATACTACTGACTCAAAGCTGAAATATTATCTCATCTCATCTGATAAAATTTTCCAAATCATATCATTTAATTCTAAATGTCGATCAGATTTGGGTGAGACTTGACAGAATCCACCTTTGAGCACAGTTTTTCTCCATTTGTGAGCCTATGAAACTGAAGAATTAAGTCACAGTACCTGTTCTAAAAATAAGAGTGTTGATACAGGCAAAGGATACTCATTATAGACTTTGCTGTTCACAGGGGAGAAAATGAAAGGCAAATGGAGAAAACAGTCCCAAGCATATTTGCAATCCTGTGAGACAAATTCATTTGGTTTCAGGGTCTTGGAATAATGCCCTCTGGTTCATTCATCCTGGGTTCTTTCCTTCGGGGTTCACAGCTTCATATTCACAACTCTCAGAGTTATCTTCTTTCCCTATTTTTTATTTTTATATGAATGGAAGCCTGTGCTAGCAGCTGAATGGTTTTATCAGCTTCTTTCTTGCCTGTAGAACTGTGGAGGTCCCATATCTTCTTTCATTTTGTGCTCTATGTCCCGATCAATCCAGGCCAGTAGTATTCATGGGGCTACAACATTTTCAAAAAACTTGTAGCTCTGCATATATGGTTCAGAGATCCATTAGACAAAAGGCTCCTCAAAATATCTTTTCTGCATTTTTGGCTTCTGCCAAAATGGCTAAGGGAATCTTCAAGTCACACGTGTAATTCTTTCAAAGAGGCTTTTATGTTATTGAATCTCTAACTTGGATCTTCCTAAAGGTAAAGGATTGCCCAGCCACAGTTCCAGTCTTTTTCTAGAGCATATTGTTCTGATGGTGAATCTTGTCGTTGTAGTATTTTTTACAAACTTGGTAAGATAAGGATTTTTCAGGTCATCAGGGTAAGGTTTGCTTCAGTTTAAAACTTTTATCTCAATCTATGTGTTTTCTTTTATATTTACCCATAAACACCAATAATAAATAAGACCACACTTTAGACCCTTTGCCTAGAAATCTCCTCAGTTAAATGTCCAATTTTTAAAATGTATAATTTCTGCTTTCTATGTGATGTTTGGACATGATTCTGCCGATTAATTTCAAAGGATAATTAAATAATTAATATTCTGCATATTAACAGGTTCCAGAGATTAGGACATGACCTATTTGGGGAGGTATACCACAATTACAATATGCATATGTGGTTTTTCACAGACCACTGGTGTCCACATTTTATCACTTCAGTGGTACTCTCACTTCCACTCGGAAGTAGAATGTGGCACCCTCACTTCCACTGGATTCCCTTCACATTCTCCAATTTTAAATATTATTGTCTTGAGTATCAGATTGTGTGATAATTTGTTTCAATCATCTAATAAGATTTACAAAATTCATGAAGAAATGATGAATTTATTGTATGTAGCAATATATCTTCTTTTTTATTGTTTCCCCTTTATTTCTTATGCCTCAAGATTATTTACTTCATCAATTCCTTTCTGTGTAAAGAAATTCCATTTTATAATAATGAGAAATGAGTCTGCCAATGAGAAATTCTTGTAGTTTGTCTGAGAATGTCTATTTCTCCTTTTTCCTCAAAGGATTGTTTTGCTGCATATGATTCAGAGTTAGTCCTTCTTTTAGCACTGGAAAGATGTGGAGCCACTGACCTTTGCTCTCTGTGGTTTTCGAGAAGGAATCTACTGTGACTCCGGTTGGTGTTCTCCTGTAGATAATGCGTCATTTCTTATTGGCTGCTTTCAAGGTCTTATTCTTTATTTTTAGTTTTCTGAAGTTTAATTATGACATATCTTGGTGAGGATTGTTTCAGGTTTATCCTGTTAGCCTCGGTTTCTTGAATCTGTGGTTGGTTTGTTTTTTTCCATCACCAAATTAAAAGAAAAAAATCAGCAATTATTTCTCTGAATGTTCTTACAGTTCCACTCTCTTTTCTCTCTCATCGACACTCTGCTAACACATGTATTATATCTTTGTTATAGTTGCCCAGGTCCCTGTTCATTTCCCTTCTCAGTCTGCTTTTTCTCTGTTGTACAGATTGGGTGACAGATTGATCTGTCCTCAAGTTCACTGATTTCTGTGCTCTAGCATCTCCACTCTACCATAGAGCATATCCAGTGAACTATGTATCTGTTTTATTTTTTACTTATGTAGTTTCTACTGGTTTTTATAGTTTTCATTTCTTTGCTGAAATTTTTCTATTTCTTTATTTTTTTAACAGACTATGACTTTGAAGCTTTTTTATGATGGCTTCTTTAAAATCTTTGTCAGGTAATTCTCAGTTTTCATCTTAGTGTTAGTCATAGTTGATTGTCTATTTTCACCAAAGTTCTGATTTTTTTTCTTAATACAATAAGTAATTTTAAGTCACATCCTGAACATTTTGTCTGTCATGTTAGAATTTGAGTTGGATTTTGAGTATTTTCTTTTAGCAGTTAGTCACACTATTTAGGTTTTTGCCTATGTATTCTGAGGTTGTCATTTTTTTAATATATAGAGGTTCAGGGTTGTTCTATTTTCCTGCTTCTTTTTTGTTTTACATATAAGAATGCATCTTTCCTCAAAGACAATTTACTGGATTCTGTCACAAGAATTTGCCTCATGAAGCCTTTGTGTGTCTTCCTTTGGATCTTCAATGTTTCACACTTTTGTCTTGCCGTGTCTTACTTCTTTCTTTTGGGTCTAAACTTCTACCTTGCTGAAATATATCCTTAGTGACCTTAGTTTTTTCTTATTTTGGAATGTAGAGTTAGTTCTGGACAGAGTACTACATTGAGAGTTATAGTTACTTAGCAAGGTGAAGGTATTTATTATCTTCTTCAGATGAAGTCCTTTTATTTTTCATTTATTGTCAATTTAATTATTCCATACAGAAATCTGTAGTTTTCTTCTGGCTAAATTTATTTATTTATCTATCTATCTGCCTGTTTATCTGTCTGTCTGTCTACCTCTCTAGGAATGACTTATTATCATTTTCTAGTCATAATGGTCAGTCCAACTTTCAGTTAATAAGTAAAGATAAAATATTTGTGTTATCAAAATAAAAATCCATGTCTTCTTTTAATATAGAAAATTCTTAACAGTCAGCTCTTCCTCAAAATTCTCCCATCAGAGCAAATTGTATTCCCTTCCTCTACCCCCCAAACTTAGGTAAGATAATCCTGGAGCATTTTCCATATAAATTAGGGGAGGGACACTTTCACCAGTGATGAATATAAATTTAAATTCCATGTAACATGGAGTTTTATTTAATCTCAGAAAAATTTTTTTCTGCCTAAGACCCATGCACAACCAAGGGAATCCATGTTTCTCTTTCAGTGACAACACAAAAAAAATAAGGACCCTGATACTGTGCAGGGATTTTTGTTTTGGCTCTATCACTTAGCATCACATCTCTGTTCCAGCAGAAGTTGACAAGTAAGACTTTGTCTCCATGCTATACCCAGTTCTTAAGTTCTATAGGGATCCAGGGCTTTAGTCCTTATATACTTTAATTTAATTTAATTTAGGTATACTTTAATTCATGCATCCTGATACTTCCCTTCTTCATCTGAGCTTGGTTGTGTTTTTAACTTATGGATTGTACATCCAGAATGTCTATGTGCTTTAGCAGGAGGAGGACTTATTCTGTAACATCTCCACATGTTGTGCTGCCAGAAATCACTTGAGCAAGTCTGAACTCCCACCTTTTATGGGTGAGGTGCACCAAGTATTTTCTGTAATACTGTGCAGTCACTTCAAAGAAATAAGTAAGCATACCTGTTTGTCTCTCGTGTCAGAAATTGACGAGGTACAGTCATACATCTGTTATATTATTTGAGGTAGCACTAAGCATCAGGCAAAAGACAAGTTACTTTTGGCTGTTTAGCAGCAACATTTAACAGCTAGCATGCACAATTTTACTGCATGTATTTCTCAAAAGAAAATTTCATATGTTCAGTGTTCTGTTTATATACATTGTCTTTAGGACATGTTGTTCAGTACTTGGGAAGAAAACTCACAGAAGGTCTGTACTTTCTGTTTAGCCCAACCTCTGAAAGATATACTGTATCAATTATTAAGAAGAGCATTTTGAATAAGAACTACTGTGAGCTTACTCTATCTAGGAGTATTTAATTTCATAGTCATTCCTAAACAACCAGTGAGATTGGGAATTATATTTTTCAAGCAAGCTTAGGTAGGACTATTTTTGTATTTACTTTAGATGTGCTATTTTTTTTAAAAGATTCTTTAATTTACTTAAATTCTGAGATTTTTTGGTTTGCAGAACAGTTAGTATTCACTAATACTAGTTGTTCACCTTTTCACCATACGCTTCATTGCCCAGAAGATTTGTGTTTTTTTGTTTTTAAGACTGGTTAAAAATTGATAGGAAGTAAAATATATTACCCAGGTACCAAATAAGTGCCTCTTGATGTTATTTGTATGTGTTTATAATATGTCCCTAGAGTATACACATATACATCTGCATATATACCAAAACATTTTTTAAATGTGAACTGCATTCTATTTATTTGTTTTGCAGCCTATTATTTTGTACTCAGTATCGTTTTGGATGACACTATGAAGGACGGCATTATTACGTTTAGATTATTAAGTCAGCTTGGAAGAGTTGAAGAACCAAAGCTCTATGCGTAAGTATAATTTAGTATTATTTTTATTCAGAAATAAAGTGTTTGTTTTTTCCAGCATCTGCTTTGGAAGATAATTCAAATCATGTGAACTTTTTTCACCAGGCTGCTTTCAAAGGCATAGACAGTGGTAGGAATGTGCCTGATTTCAATAATAGCACCGAGACTGCAGTCCTAGAACAGTTGCTTCAAACTGGCTGAGAAGGCAAGGAGGTTGTGAGTCTTCATTTCCTTTACAGACATCATGTCCTATCCAGAGCACCATGAAATACTGAGGCATTTTATTCAAATACTTGAATTAGTGCATTTTTTATAAAATAATATAAAATATGGACCACTTATCTATGGTAAATTTGTCCATCTATGTCTGGCCAGTGAATTTATTATGTTTCCATTAATATCTTTGCTAATAAATTTAGTTATGCTTTGGGATTTAAACTACATTAGATGCCAGGGAAGTCAGAGACATTTAAATGAGCTTTTATTTCCCTTTTCAAAATTAAAATAGGAATATTTGCTTGCTGTAAAAGAACATGTCACATTATACAGCAGACAATGAGAATCATCTACAATTATATCATTTTTAACATTCAGTTTTACAATTTGATTTATAACTATTCCTCCTTCTTTTCCTTCTTCACCTCCTCTTTTTTGTCCTATATTTTCCTTTAGTACATGCCCCTGTGCACACACATATTATTTTTTAAAATTAGGATCTTGTCACACATTGTTTTGTCTTGATTTTTATGTAAATGCTATAGCATGATTGCTTTTCTCTATGTCATTAAAGTCACATACATTAAAATATGATACTAAATATATTAATATGCCAATCTAGGATTTTAAGCCATTATCAATAATGGATATTGAGGTGAGAATAACTCCCCAGATGAGTGGCTAATGGGGGGATTAGAAAAACAAGAATAGAAAGCTGATTATTATAATAATAATAAGCCAGTAACTGCACTAAAAATTGGGGCTTGGAATTTTGGATTAACTATATTTTTATCCTTATATTGTCTAGTTCAGCAGAGAGACTGTACAAATACATAATACAAATAAAATGGTTTGTCATTTCTCTATTCAAACAATTTTTAATGACTATCCCCATGGAAGTAGGTACTGTGCTAAGTTCTGAGGATAACGGGATAAACAAAAACAGACATGGTCCTACTCTCATTAGAACCCTAATGAAAAATATAACAATAATTAAATAATTATGAAAATATGTAAATAAAATCTGTCATATTTATATATCTCATAATATATCTTGAGGCACACTATGGTGTGAAAGGAAACGTAAAATTGGGGTGAGGGGATGAGAATTAGTGGGGCCACTACAAGTTTCTCCAAGGATGTTTTATACTCGTTGATTGGGACCTAAATGGTGAGATGGAGTTAGTCTGCTTTGCGGTATTCCAGGCAGAGAGGCCAATACAGGCACAGACCCTGAAGCAGGAGGGAGCAGACTCAATTTCAGGTGCTGAACAAAGAGCATTATGTCTGAAAATACAGGCAGGGAGACCTGAGAGAGGTAGGGAGCACCTAGGTTTTGTAGGAACTAGAACTTGTAGGACATGTTCCAGGATTTATATTTTTCTCATGGGGAAAATGGAAACCATTGACATGTTAGCTGAGGCAGTCTGGTTGGGACAGGACCGGATTTTCGTTTTGGAAAGACTGTTTGTCCACAGTAGATTGGAAGCAGGAAAGACAGGGTAGTGTTGTAAGGATATGGGCAAGAAATGGTCCTGAGATAAGAGTGTTTGCAGTGGTAATGGAGAAATGAGGATGAATTCAAAGCATATTTGAGGAATTTCACAAGTAAAGTCAGTAGGAATTTATGATTGACTGGGTGTAGGAAATGAAAGAGAGGATACTCTGAAGGATTAATCCTAGTTGTCTGGTTTGGGGAATAAGTGAGGGTTACAATTTAAAATGGTAAGGAAATGTGTAGATTCTGGTGTTTTTTTTTTTGGTTTTCTTTTTTTTGAGAGGTAGACGTTGGGGAGAGTGTCATTTATATTTAGCCTATTGAGCTTTAGGTATCCTTGAGATGGATATCTAAGTGGCCATGGTAAATAACAGCGGGTATATGGTCTGAATCCAGCAGACAGGACCAAGCTGGAGGCAGAGATTTGGTGGTCACAAACCAAGGTATTTGAAACCATTAGAGTAGATGTGACTTTGTGGAGTAAGATAACACATACCCAACTGAATATGTTTACTCTGAAATATCTCTGAGAAACCTAGATAAGCTCTTGGACAAAAATGAGAGGTGTGGCCAATGACATATTCTGTGAAAGAGAAGGTAGTGACTCAGCCAGGACTGTACGGAGATAAACTTTGAGGGAGTGATAACCATTCGGGCTGACCTGCTGTGAAGATTCAAAAGGAGAGGAGAGCAGAGATAAATACAAGATAGAGCTAGTGCCAGGTGCCAGCTGGTTGCACTCGGGCTGTTCTGTGTGTGATTGAGACTTTTGCACAAGCAAAATGCTGCCTCAAAGAAGGAAATTATTTAACAGATTTAAAAAATATTCTCTTTCTCTTCTTTCTCTCCTCCCCTTCTCTCCCCTCTCCTCTTTTTTCCTGTTCTTCCTTCCCCCCTTCCCTTTTCCCCTCCTCCTCGCCCTCTTCCTCTTTCTTCTCATTTTCATTTTCCTCAGAGTTCTGTCTGGAGTCAGCAGACCTGTGTTGACCCCAGGGCCCCACAGTTCTGACACCTATGGATAAGGAATTGAGCAGAGTGGTAAAGCGTGTTGATGTGGCTGTGTTTGCATCCAGTTTTGCATTCACTTGCTTAGGAAAGACACTTATATTCTCTAATACTCAGTTTCCTCATCTGTAAAATGGTAACACAAATAGTACCTAATAAAAGGAATTGTGGAGATCATCAAATAAGATCAAGTATATAAAGCTTTATTGTAGTTCTTGGTATATCATAAACATTCAGGAAATTGTGCTTATTTAATACTGAATTTATTATTTTTCGTTAGAAACTCAGGCTTTTACAATTGTCTCTTTAATTCACAAATATTTGATAAAGTGGCACAGAACAACAAAGGATTATTATTTGAGCACCGTTCTATTCAGGGAACTCTGATAGTTGTTTAGGGGTCTAAAAAAAGAAGCATAAGATGACTTATCTAATTTTAGACAAAGGAATAATCTAAACACCTAGTCAGAAAGATAAGATGTCCCACTTTTTTTCAAAAAGTATTCCCCAAATATTGTGTATAGGGATGAAAGTATTATTATTTTATATATTTTGTTCTAAATTACTGTTTAAACTATTTAAATAATTACTTAAATAATGTTTATTGTTTGGCCTTTTTCTATATGATTGGTCTCTATCCTGCATTGTTCATATTATTTTGATTTTAGAGTGAAGCTATATGTCAAAGTACTTATATTCTGAATATGTCAAATTTTCTGTTTAGGAATAATAAATCACTTCATAAAGTTCGAGAAGTCAAGATTCTTGCTCAGTTTTTAAATGATGTTGTAAATATCTCAAGCATCGGTTTGGCATATTATCAAAGCTCAAATCATCAGTGTTCCACATGCCAATATAGAATCCAGCGTCTCATGTTAAAATCCCTTACATATCCAGAGAGGTAAGAAAATAAATTTTGATTTAAATATGTTGCCTTTTAAACTTGAAAATATTGGTTTGCTATAAAATGATTTAAGAATTCAAGTACTCAAATATCTTTTTTGTGTGTGTATTTCAAATTATATTTTATTAGAATATTTAAAAAAGTACAAAATACTTTTGTTTTTTGCTTGGAGGAGATTCATTTGGAATCACATCACCCCATCAAAGAAAAACACACACAATTATTGCATAAGACACAACAAAAATGAAAAGAGTAAGACAAATGTCTAGCTTAGAAGTATATCAATAATTTTTACATATGCATATATTGTACACAGTGGTTTATTGTCCTTTTATACAATCCTTTAGATGAGGTCCAAAGGACTATAGTAAGACATATAAGATTCTACCAATCGTTAGAGATTCAACCCCAAGAGTATACTGACAGGAGTCAGACTTTAGCATATATACAATAACAACATGAGGAGAATTTGACTCTACACTTTTAAAGAAAAAGTTTATTCTGTTTTTCCCATTACCATTTAGTATCTCATATCCCCCTCCCCCTGCAGTTTTACAGTCCCCTGTCTTGGTTTGTCAGTAACATCACCAATATCTCTATTCCAAAAATTGTGACATCAGCATTACTGCGTGGGTACCATTTTTAAAAAGATAATAGACTCTAACAGCATTTTCCTAAGCCCATTTGATATGCTGTTCTTGGTTTCATGTCCTCACAACCAAGAAGGTTTTTCCCTCCATCCTTGTCCTCACAGTCTTGGCATAGCAATACATGTTCACATTGGCAGAAGCCATATTTCCACGAAAATGCCCCTGTGAAAGCACTAAGAACCACTGAGAGGTCTTCAGTGAGCTGATCATCTGGCAGTTTGAACAGCAGGTGTTCTCACAGGGAACATCATCAACTGAGTGCCGACATCAATAGGTTTGGGGATTGTTCAAATCTCTCTTCTTTAGTTGGGGCAACACTTAATTTTTACTCTTCTGTATTGATTATTCTCTGTATTAATATATTTGATTTCCTATTTGCCTATCTATGGGTGTTGTTGAACTTAGTAAATAGAATTTTTGGAGAATAAAATAATAAAAATGGTAAGTAATGTTCATTTAGATGACATATATATCAAATAGAGGAGAGTTGGGACAATTCTTTAAAGCATAAGTTATTTTGTAACTTGGTATAAAAGAATATTTAGTAATTCAAAAGTCAAAAGTAAGATGTCATTATAATGGAAAAATACTGGGATATTTTTACTGTCCTTTTCTTTTGGAATATGAAAATATATGGATATTTTTAGTTAAGAAATTAGCAACATTGTTCCCTGACAGTGTGTTGGGGGGGGGGTTATGAGGTCATGTTTGAAGGACTGAAGATTTGAATGGCATGGACCCATTTACACATGGACAGTTTTTTTAAAAATGAATATACTTTAAAAGCTTTTAAAGATTTATGAAAATTTGAAAAAAACTGTACAGGAATCACATAGCATAGAAATTTAGAAAATTTAAAAGCTAGGTATGTCATGAACACATACAATATATGTATGTATTTTCTGTTCTTTATGATTTTTCTAATATTTTCTTTTTTCTGGCTTACTTTATTGCAAGAATACAGCATAATACATATATATACAAAATATGTGTTAATTGGCTACTTATGTTATCAGTGAGGCTTCCAGGCAACAGTAGGCTGTTAGTAATTAAGTTTTGGGGGAGTCAGAAGTTAAACACAGATTTTTGACTGTGTGTGGAATCTGCACTCCTAAATTGTTCAAGGGACAATTGTACTTTTGCTGTCCCCAAAAGCCAGGTTTTAAAGGGCCAGGGTTGTTGCACCATCATATTCCCTTAAATCCCCCTCCCCCTATTAATACCTCTGTGAGCATCAGAAAAGTAACTATAAACAATGAAGTTAGAGGCTTTAGCTTACATACTCTGTTTCTGACATTTGGATGTAAAGGTACATATTGTCCAGGAATAAAGTCTTTTTCCTACATACCATAAATGGAAAGAGAAACAAAAGCAATACCTCCATAGTATAGAAAAAGCACACAATGTAAATCTAGGCCAGGCACCAAATATTTAGCTTAGAATCGCTGTACATAAAACATCCCAGGAGCTTAAAATGAGAAAGATAAATTTAGTTCCATGTAAACAGTAAAAGGACCAAGGATAATCTGCCTTATGTGTATATGGGCAAATGCCAAGGCTAGATTCACTTCTCGTTGTTTAAACTGTGGAGAGTCATGCAGGTCATTCCCTGTAATAGCTTCTAGGGTCACTGTTCACATAGATAATAACAGTACAATCACAATGTACTGGAAGCTTTGCAACATGAATCTGTTTATAAACAGTTGTGTCTTTCCAACCATAAGTTAATGGCTGCTGTCTTTTGTGGAATCATCAACTTAGTTTTTCTCTTATTGTTGGATACTTCATTTATCTTTAGTATTTGCTTATCATAAACACTGGCTACGTATAGACAACTATCTGCACTTTGAACAGTTCCTTGGTTTTATATTCGTAGAAGACATTTCAAGGAGAAGACACATTTTCAAATCTTCCACCTCACCACATGATGTCACACCTTGACACAGAGTGTTGGTGAGCCTACGGACAGCCACTGCACCCCCTTCATGCCTTTCTAAGTGACTTATTTTAGGGAGAAAGGAAGGGCAGACAGATGTGACTGCTGTTATGTTTGAGTCATTATGTTCTTAATTATGATTTACATAGAGAAATGTTTTATGCAACTCATTTACTAGTTAGCTAAGAAATAGGGTGAAGTCATAGGGATATGTTACAGCACAAAAAGTAAGCATGCATTGTAACTAACCTTTATGTGAAATTTAGACAGTGGATAGACTATGAAAATTCACCAAATTTTCTACTCAGGGGAAAAAAACTAAAATACATTGTGGGTGTTTAGCAAAACTCTTAACATCTCCTGCTGGCTGGAGATGCTAACAGATGCTTGGATAAAATGTGTGCCTCCAATTTAATTACCTAGGTAATTGTCATAACCATTTAGTTGCTTTTCCTATTTAGATCTGTCCATACAGATAGTGTGCAATTAATGAGAATTAGCACTGCCAAATTATTAGGAACATGAGTTATAAAAATGTGATGCCTTATGGTCCAGATTAAATTGTGTAAGCACTCAACCAGTGATTATTTCTTTGTAACCAAGGGTGGTAAAGACTACAGTGTAGTTCTCTTCTAGGGTTTTCCTGGAGAGCAGGGCCTTGGAATTTGGGGACTGAGAGGTACATTCACAGTGTTGGTGATATGGTATTACATCTTGAGGAAAGTTGGAATAAAGCTACCTCCTTAAACTTTGCAGTAAAATCACTCTTTTAGGCATACAGGTCTAGGAGTTTTGATACGTTCGTGTAGCCACCACGACCAAGATCCAGATCATTTCCATCAGTCACAGAAACTGCCTGGTGCTGTCGCCTTCATTTTCAACTGCATTCCCCACTTCTCCTTCCACTGTACTAGTTTTGCCTTTCCCAAAACGTTACATAAATGGAATCATATAGTATGTAGCCTTTTAAATGTGGCTTCTTTCACTTAGCTTTGTGCATTTAAAATTTATCCATGTTCTTCCTTATATCCATGGAATCTTATGGATGAATAGTATTCTGTGTATGGTATACCCGAGTTTCTTTATCCATTTACCAGTTGGAAGACATATGGTTTGTTCACAGTTTTTGATATCTGTCTCTGAATAAGGCCAACACGAATATTTGCATGTTTTTGCACACATATTTTTATGTAAATATAACTTTTTATTTTACTTGGATAAGTACCTGTCAGGAGATTGCTGGATCATCTTGTAAATATAGGTTTAACTTGACAGAGTATGTTGATGACCTCTGCCATTTGATTAAGGGTATTTATATCTTTTAATTTAATGTGATTATTAATGTGGTTGGGTTTAAATTTATCATCTTCTATTTTGTATTCTGTTTGTTATTTCCTTTTTTCTCATTGTCTGCATTCTTTTGTATAAATCCAATAGTCTCATGAGTCCACTTTATCTCTTTTATTGGTTTATCATCTATAACTCTTTTAAAAATATTTTAGATGTTTTTGGGGGATTGATATTATAATCTTTGCCACAGTGTACCTTCAAGTGATTTTTACCACATAACATGTAACATAAAAACTAAAGTAATATAATTATATTTCTTCCACTATAGATTTCATTTTGTTGTTGGCATACATTTTACTTTTACATATGCCAGAAATTCCATAATCCAATCTATCAGTTATAAAGAGTCAAGCTATTAAAGAGATTATAAATACTTAAGAAAATTAATGTATTTATCCACTTAGTTACCACTTCTAGTGGACTTCTAAGCCATAGTAGATGGATATTTTCATGTGGTATAATTTATCTTTTGACTAATAGAGTTCTTTAAACTCTATTTTTTATAGTGTAGGTCTGTTGGTCGTAAATTTTTTCATACTTTTTGTGTCTGAAAAATCTTTCTAATACCTTCATTTTAAAAGATAATTTATTGGGTTATAGAATTCTAGTTTGACAGCTTTAATTTTTTTTTACTTTGACTACTTTAAACATGTTGCTGTACTGTCTTTTACTATGCATTTACCCTAATGAGAAATCTGTTACTATCCTTCCTTTGTTCCTGTGAAGAAAATATGCCATTTTTCTCTGGCTGGTTTTAAGATTTTGTCATTACTGATGTTAAACAATTTGATTATGTTGTAACTTATAATTTTATCCTACTTCTTGTGTTGGGAGTTTGTTGACATTCTGGGGTCTGTGGGCTCATACATATTATCAAATTTTATTTAAAAATTTAACTATTTTTAAAAATCTTTTTTTGTGTCCCTTTTTAATCTGGTCTCCCTTTGAGGATTCTAATGTCAAGTTTATTAGGCTGCTTGAAATTTTCCCACAGCTTACTGATGGTCTCAATTTTTAAATGTATTTTCCTCTTTTATTTCATGTTGAATATATTTTATTGCTATGTTTTTAAGGTCACCATTCTCTCTTCTGTATTGTCTAATGTAATATGAATCTCATCCAGGGTACTTAAAAATGTATATATTTTATACTTTTATTGATTCTAAAGGGAGGGGAAGGGAGGGAGAAGGAGAAGGAGGGAAACGTGGATGTGAGGGAGAAACATCAACTGATTGCCTCTCATATGTGCCCTGACCAGCATCAGACCTGGAGCCGTTTGGTTTGCAGGATGATGCCCAACCAACTGAGCCACACCAACCAGGGCCAGGGCACTTTTCATAACAGACATTATAGCTTTCACTTCTAGAAGTTTGATTTGGATTTGTTTGTATCTCTTATGTCTCTACTTACCTATTTGAATGCATGGAATACAGTTATATAATTCTTTTAATACCCTTGCCTGCTGATTCTTACATCTCTGCTAGTTCTGGGCTGGTTTCAGTTGGTTGACCATCATGTTGGGTCCATTTTCCTACTGCTTTGCATGCTTGGAAATTCTTGATGATGTGCCAGACATTGTGTATTTTATCACATGGAGTGCTTATATTTTTCTAGCGCAATGAATGTTCTTCAGGTTTCTTCTCAAGATGCTGTTCAGTTACCTACAAACAAATTGATTCTTTCAGGTTCTGCTTTTAAGATTTTTTAGGCATACCTGGAGTAGTGTTCAGTTTTGGGTCCATTATTCTGACAACTGAGGCAAGATCTCTTTATGCATTTTATCAGAGATCTGTGAGTTATTAGTTTTCCCCATCTGATAGGTGGGGACAGGCACATGTGCTAGTGCCGGAAACCTAATCTTAGGTAACATTTTAAAGGAATATTAGGGGCACGGATGTGCTGATATGTTGTGCAAAATCCATCAGGTGAATTTTGAAATGAGAAAGAACGTATATCTCTTGTAATTTGTCATAATATATATGGATTGAAATAAAAAAACTAATTGTAATTGGATTTTAGAGAAATTATCACTAGTTGTAATTGGATTTTAGAGAGTTATAATTTATCAATACAGTATGTTCATTTCTGCTAATGTGTGGTAAGCAAAGCACTAAAATGCAATAGTTATTTCTTTCAGCAATTGGAAAAAAACATAATATTTTTACCCCATGGTAACTCAACATGTACCACAGACTTTGAAACAAAGTATAGGTTTTTTAAAATCTTTTTTATTGCCTATGGAGGAATTATTAGTAACAGAATAAGTTATGTCAAAGTTAAAACCGTGACAGCAGGACTGGATAGGCTTTTCACAACACAGAAACACACAAGCTTGGTGTTCCTCATATGTGTTGGTGAAATTTAACCTTGTAACCAGTACAAACCAGCCTAACCTGTGTGTAATGCTTGTGGAGGCTGTGTACCACCTGGAATACTTACTTATAAGTATACATTTAGTATATTACTAATTGAAGACACTTCAATTAGTAACAGGGTTCAGAGGTTCTGTATTATTATAGAAAGGAAAATCATCCCTGGCCAGTCATGCAGTTGGTCGGACCATCGTTCTATTCACCAGAAGGTTGCAGGTTTGATCCCTGGTAGGGGCACATACCAAGGTTACAGGTTGGAAACCCAGTCAGGGTTCACACAGGAGGCAACTTATCTATGTTTTTCCCACATCATTGTTTCTCCCCTCTGCACGTTTCTCTCTGTATCTGTCTCTTCATCTTTCGGCCTCTCTCTCACTCCCTTTTTTTCTCTCCAGAGTCAGTGGAAGGAAAACATATCCTTAGTGAGGATTTAAAAAATGAAAAGCCAGCCCTGTGGGGCTGCTCAGGTGATTGGAGTGTTGTTGGGGACACCAAAATGACACCAAAATGTTGTGGGTTCAATTCCTGGTCAGAGTGCACACCTGTGTTCTGGGTTCATTCCTGGGTGGGGAGTGTCCGGGCAGCAACTGACTGATCATTCTCTCTTACATCCCTCCCTCTCTCCCCGACCCCCTTCCTCTCTTCTCTCAGATCAATAATAAAATATCCTTGTGTGAGGACTGAAAAAAACCTTATCTTAATATTGTGTATTACAATATGTGAATAGCAGTATTATTTAATGGCTGAGGTAGTTTATCCATTGATAATTGGATAAGTTAAACAAGGAAGCAGAGGGAGACCCAAAAACCAAAGGCACATTCGGTGAATGAGGGGTGTGGCGGGATAAACAACTGGTATGAATATGTGTACATTTGGGTGGGGAGTGGTAAAGTCATCCTTCTACTTACATCTCCCCTGTGTGTTCCTCTCCCCTGTATTGTTTCTCTCATACAGGGGAGAGAAAGGTGAGTTTGATTTTTCAATTATATTCTGACCTCTAAGAATGCACTGAAAAGATATTTTGCTAACATCTAAAGATTCTTAAGAGATTCAAGTATTATCATTTTATTGTACCTTTACTGCTATAGTATTAACATTAAAATGTTAATGTCTTTATTATTTTAAATGTAAAATACTATAGTATTTTTATCAGCTTTTATAATTAAAGGTGAATGTCTACATTTTATTACTTTTAAATACATTAGCAGAAGAAAAGTTGGTTTATTTTAAAAATTAAGTAACTTAACCTAAAAATTCTGTTGAATATTTTAAAAATGTATTCAGTGACATCTTCACCAAGCTAGGAGGCTGGGAGCTTCTGTCCCTTGAACCGGTGAAGTGCTTGTGACAAATAATGGCGAATGACCAGCCCCTGTGACATTGAGTTGTCCCTTCTCCTGGACTGTTCCGATTGCTGACATAGAAAATTTCTATTTATCACCACCATTTTTTTCTTTACCGTCCATTTCTGAACACTTCCCAATCTTTTATTAATTCTAGTTAATTATAGTTTTGAAGATTTTCAAGATATTAAGAGGAAGATAACTAGACAAGATGCTTGATTTACCACAGTTACTTGACTTCTCAAAAATCTTCAATTACCAACTACACAATCTCTCCCAGGTATAGAATACTTCACATATTATCACTTCCATTTTAGTAGGTGGCAAAGATAATTGATTAAGTCACTTCATCAGCACTTGTCTGTGCATTTCAGTGGTAGGAGCAGCGGCCCAGCCACTGAGCTGAGTTCGGGTTTCATTTATTTCGGTGTCCAGCAATATCTCCCACGCATTGTACATATTTCAGTGGAGCAGCAAAGAGAGAAGTTTAAACACAGAAATTCTGTTCTTTTTTTCATAACCATCATGTCTGCTTCATTCCAGCAAAGCCCAAAAAGAGAGTGGAAACCTTCCTGTAGGTTTGTTCCAACTCCCTGTGTTTGGAAAACTAGTTAGTTATAATAAGCATAACATATTCTAATATTTATGAGAAAAAGAAACTTTGTTGTTTTACTAATAGGTTTTTTCTTTTTCTTTCTTTTTTTTCTCTCTCACAGACCTCCACTCTGTAGGTATGACTTCGTACTTGAAGAAAACAAAGAAGTATTTCTCAATCTATGTACTTGCAAACCAGAGGAAATATGACATGCCTTCTTCCTTTAATTGCAACAACTTGTGAATTAAAGAAGGTATAACTGGGAACAATGTAATTACTATTTCTTTTAGAATGCATTGTTAAATCTGTTAGTCAGATATTTCCACTTTTTTAAATAAACTTTTAAAAATCAAAAATATATAAAACTTAAAAATATATATGACAATCATTTTGAGTTCATTCTAAAAGCTGTTTATTTCTGTTTACCTCAATCAACCATTTATCATAGAATGTTTCCCTTGTTTATTATTAATAGATAATATGTCTTTATAAAAAAAAAGAAGCTTATTGCTTCAATACACTGTCTAAACATTCTCCATTTCTCAGACTACAGTGGTAACATATATGAAAATTTTAAAATTGTAAATTTGTCACTGGGAGAAGCCACTTGGATTAATGTAGCTCTTATAAACATAAATGCATTTTCAGTTTAGTGACCTATTCAGTATTTTGTAATGCTTTGTAAATAAAAATTTTGTTTCCAAAATCTTTAGGAGCATAATAGTTTAAGGGTCCATAATGCTTAAGGTCAGATCCTGTGTCCGCTGCTACTCATGGTGTTATCATGAGTAACCAGATTTATCTTGCCCTGTTTCAGTCACTCAGAATTTTTGTGAAGATTGATTCAATGCTTTGACTAATGTCTGCCTGTAATGCTAATGGTAAAAATAATGATAGTTAACACATAAATTGCTATATTTCTATTCATTTGATCATTACAAAACCCCTATGAGGTTGACCTTGTTGTCACCACCAATGAAGAAACCGAGGCACATAAATGTGAACTAACATAGCCAGGATCATGCTCAAAACCAAAATCAAAATCAAAGTCATCAGGCCTTTTGTCCATATTTTAACCCCTATAAAGTGTTCTCCACAGTTCAACACATGGTAGTATCTGTATTTACAAATATTATTGCATTCAAAATGTTAATCTACATGTACTTGGCATTGTCCTATTTACTTGTTCAGTGCAAGAATTCCTGGGCTGTAGGTCCCTCTCACTTATATATGAATGTTCCCAAGGTTTGCTTTATGTATGTTTCTTAGCCAATCTATGAACTGAGTCAGCCTGTATATGCTTTTGAATTCCCCAGGAGGAATTGCTGGGGCTGCCTTAACAAAATACCACAGATAGGGTGGCCTAAACAACATAAATTTATTTTCTCAAAGTTCTGGTGGCTAGAAGTCCAGGATCGTAATGTCAACAGGTTTGGCTTTTTCTAAGGCTTCCTTCCTTGATTTACAGACAGCCACTTTCCTGCTGTGTTCTCATACGGCCTTTCCTCTGTGCATTGTGTCTCTAGTGTATCCACATTTTCTCTTCTTATAAAGACATGAGTCGCTTTGGAGTAGGGCCCACCCCAATGAACTCATTTAAATTTAGTCACCGCTTTCAAGGCCTATCGCCAAATATAGTCACGTTTAAAGTACTGGGGGTTAGGGCCTTAGCATAAGAATTTTGGGGAGACAGTTCAGTTTATAACATCTGTCTCAACTTCTTAGCTTCACAATGATGAGATTTGCCTAATGAGTCATTTGAAGGTAAATCAGAGTCCTTGTTGGTGCCTACCTGGAGAACACTAATGTATGAATATCCTTGGTGTATTAGATCTGTGTTCTACTTGTGCAAAGACAAGTAGAAGCAGCTTCTCTCTTTGCTTAGGGATGTAAGCAGGGCTACCTGCCCCTCTACTGTCTGACAGTCATTTTTAAAAACCAACTTCTGCCCTGGCTAGTGTGGCTCAGTGGATTGAGTGCTGGCCTGCAAACCAAAGGGTCTCCAGTTTGATTCTCAATCAGGGCACATGCCTGGGTTGCAGGCCAGGTCCCCAGTAGGGGGTGTGCATGAGACAACCACACACTGATGTTTCTCTCCCTCTCTTTCCCCTTCTCTTCCCCCCCTCTATAAACAAACAAACAAACAAATAAATAAAATCTTTAAAAATAAAATAAATAAAAACGACTCCTTCAGCTTTTGCCACAGCCCATCACTCCACAGGCCTCTGACTCCAGTCCACAGAGATACCTTCTTTTTTGTCACTTCAGCATTTGCTCACAAACTTCCCACATTCTTAAACGAAACCATAAACCCTTATATAACTTGACTTTTCCAATCCCCCCTAATTAATTTGGCAAATATCTCCAGAAACTTTTAAATCTCATTTGATGACCTTAATACTTAAAATTAAATAAAATGCACTATACACACGTTTCCAGGAGCAGAAACCCTGCTGCCATCTGTGTGACTGCTTAGGGCCCTGGATGAAAGAGGAACAGTAGCCAGCTTGCTTCATAGCAAAGTAAATGACCCCATCATCCTCATAATAAAACTTATGAGGTGATAGAAAACACAGGTGATAGAATCTTTTAAGGATAATGCAAAGACATACCCTTATAGTATCCTTACATTACAATATCTTCCCCAGTATCCCAATTTCTTTTGCATCTTTTTTCAACATAAAGGTTAATGAAGAAAGGGAGGCTTTGGAACTCCTCTTGGTGGTGAGGGAAAGAAACTCCTCTGATACTCACGTTTATAGTCTTCAAGGAGTATTTTAATCCTATTTATTTTTTAAAATTTGTGGAAGTCATAGATCAAAATTGAAAAAGAAAAACCTGTATTTTTCAATGGGTCATGAGAAAGCCCAGGTATTCTGTAGCAATTATCCAGACCAACAAAAAGAACAAATAGCTCTTATGCACAAAATATGTTATTCCAGGCTGCTCTGAAGACACAACATCCTAGATCAGATACATAAGAAACAAAGAGATAAGGTGTTTCAATTATCGAACCTTCAGAATGTCTGCTTGACACAAGTCACAGGATTGAACTCACTGTTTTTAAAAGTTCCATCTACAGTGTAGTTTGAGGATTTTAGGTCACGATAGTGGAACAGGCAAATGCTGTGCTAACCTCCTCTCATGACCACACAACATTAAAATTAAATTCTAGAACAACCACTCTTGAGAACCACCTAAAGACTAGCTGAACAGAGCTTCTATATCTAAGATTATAAGGGTGAAGCCATGTTGGGATTGGTAGGAGGGGTGGGATCCAAAACAGGCTAGTCCCACATTCATGTGTGGTGATTAAGAAGCAAGAGCAATATCTTGGTTAGAGAGGTCCCCACTGAGGAAAAAGGGGTACCAGCCACAAACTAGGTTCCCTAGCCTGGAGCACCAGTTTCAGGAGAAGTCTCCTTAGCAGCTGGCTGTGAAAGTCAGCAGGGATTCTGGATTCTGTCCATGTGACATGGAAGGATATTGTAGACAAAGGTGTTTACAAATACTAGCTCTAAACTCCAGAGAAGGGGCAACATCTCAAAAAGCACCAGGAACACGAGGGGAGAAACTGAATCATTTGGCTTGGGCAAAGGCTAGAGACAGCTCTCTCTGAACTAAAGTGCTGGCAGGTGCTGTTGTTTCTCGTTGGTCCCCTCTCACACACACGGATGGCAGGGGCAGGGGGACCGCCAGTCCAATTCTCCAGTCATCTGGCTAACACTGCTCTAGCCCTGTCCTGGTGATACTCGTCCAACTCACCCGCCTGGCCCAAACCTTTCTCAGAGGCTAGTCCACACAAGTGGCAGGCCTGAGCCCACACTGCAGACCTTCCTCAAATCTCTTAAAGGTTCGCAAACTCCAGGCAAGCAGTCTCATAACACCTGTCAAGTGGCCCCAAGACTAGCACTAGTGGTAACCAGCCTCAGATTGCAGCATAACCACACCCAAGCATCTCCAAGGCCAGCACAGGTAGCTCCAACCAAAGATCAATTGACAGGTCCTACCAGATGGCCCCAGAACAGACACAGCAGCTAATGTTACCCTGCACCAGAGCCCTTCTGGTGGCCAACTTCAGACCATGCCAGAGTACCATCCAGTAAGCTCCACAAACAACATACCCAAAAGGTAGGCTTTACAGGCAACAGACCTTCTAAAGCAAATCCTACTCTTTGGGGTTATCTCACAAACAATAGCTTGTCTGCTGTAGTTACAGCCAGTCCTCATAACAGTCAACCTGTCAATCTCATGTACTTATTTGTCAACATCAATCAAGGCTCAACAACAACAGGAGAGCACACACAATCTACACAGGAGACGGAGCACCCAGCTCAGGAGACTGAGCCACTGGGCCAAACGGGACACCTACTACATTAAACCAAGACTGGGAGAGGTAGCAGATCTGCTGATTATATAGAAACAAACACAGAGAAGCTGATGAAATAAGGAGACAAAGAAACATGACCCAAGTGAAAGAACTGAACAAAACTCCAGAAAAAGAGCTAAACAAAAGGGAGGGAAGCAACCTACCAGGTGTACAGTTCAAAACACTGGTTATAAGGGTGCTCAATAAATTTAAGGGAAGAACAGATAATCTCTGTGGGAACTTCAACAAAAAGATAGGTAACATTAAGGACATAGAAGTTATTAAAAAGAACTGGTCAGAAATGAAGAATAAAACAACTGAAATGAAGTATCAGATCAGAGATTTGGAAGACAAGGAAGCAAAAAACACACAATCAGAACTTCAAAAAATGAATTTTACAAAATAAGGACAGCTAAAGGGACCTCTGGAACAACATCAAGTATATCAACATTTGCATTAAAGCGGCACCAGAAAGAAAATAGTAGAGACTGAAAATCTATTTGAAGAAACATTGACTGAAAATATCACTAATCTGGTAAAAAGAATAGACACACAAGTCCAGGAAGTGCAGACAGTCCCAAACAAGATGGACTTGAAGAGGTCCACACCAAGACACATCATAATTAAAATGACACAGGTTAGAGATAAAGAGAGAACCTTAAAAGCAGCAAGAGAAAAATAGTTAACACTGTCAGTTTATTTTTGACAGAAGTTTTGCAGGCTAAAAGAGATTGGTATGAAGCATTAAAAACAAGGAAAAGCAAGGTCCTATAACCAAGATAGACAGCAAGTCTACCATTTAGAATCAAAGGAGTGTTAAAGAACTTTCCAGATGCCCCC